CCCAGGTAAACCTGTAACCTTTTACGAGTGCCATCCGGAAGATCACGCCCCAGCACCTTCGGTGCGGGCGGATTTCTCCACATTTGTTTTAGTAGCCTGAATGAACATTTATATAATGTTTGGTGAATCTGCCTGGGCTTTGTTAGGTCTGTGTTGTTGGTCAATCGTTGCAGGAGCTATGTCAGTGATCCTTTGCATGTTCGTGGTTATACACTTTGTGTTTGATTTGGTATGATATTGAAGGTCTATGTTATTGATTCAAACGGGTTTTGCGTCTTGCAGCTCAATCCACAGGGTCTCTGTTTGCGGTAATCATTATGTTTTTCCTCAACTCCAAATGGGAGTCTATGTTAGTGGTTTTCTATGGGCCTGTATTTTCCACACTTCAATGTCGAGGTCTATGTTAGCAATTCTGGATGGACCTACACTACCTAAAACTATATAACGATCACCTGGAGGAACAGATTCAAAACTTTAACGAAGCTCATCACCCGGCAATTGATATTCATGTTAGGTCCAAAGCACCACGGACACAATGCAAGCGCAGGAAAAAAGAACTAACATAGATCCAGAGAGGTTCTACAATCATGTCAATCGTTTATTTTGATCATTTCTGGTGCAGATTGAAAAGAACGATGAACAAATGAATTCTGAATTACTTGTGAAAATTATGTTGGATTCTTGTGGGTATGTTCAACAAGGAGTTCCACTTCGTAATGTATATAAAAACTTCCCAAGATATAGCCAACGTTTGCTTTGCCTTCGGATTTCTTCCATGATTCTTTCTGAACTTCTTATGCATTTCTGATGATGTTCTATTGAAATGTTGATGAAAAAAGAAAAACTGTATGCAGTTCTTATGCAGTTTGATTTTTTATTTTCAACGAAAAACCATACCTTTTTGCAAAACGATAATTACGACGTTTTCAAAACAGCATACCAGCTGCATATGACCTGCACATTTGGTTTCTTCTATTGCTCATCAAAAGTTCAAAATAACTTCATCAAAATGACAAAAAATAGAAAGTGATAGAGCCTTGACTCGAAGTTTCTTGTGAAGTTTGTAAAATCTACATATAGCGATGTCTCAAAATGAGGTGTCCTGTTTTGCTCTTCAGAGTGATATTTTGGGGGCCAAAAAGGACACCTCACCCTGAGACATATCCAAATTGAATTCAGGACAAAAATCAGCAGACATTCATAGTATATACAACACATATCCATGGGATATTCAACTCATGATTAGCCGAGAACAAGTTGAAACACCATTTCCAACTGTGTAACAAAGTGGCAACACACCAGACAACTTGCAGTCATCAGAGATACATCATCTCAAGCAAGGAGTGATTAAAACTATCACTTAAATGAACGTTTTTCAGATACATCTCAGTGAAGGGAAACATGTGTTAAGTTAATACTCACATTGTTTTCAAGAAACCAGTTCAAGAAAGATACTCAAGTAATGACCTCAAGTAAACATTTCGCTAACAGCAGCACCAAATGACGGCTTCTATGCCAGCTCACTAAACAACTTTTGGGGATTTCACAAGCTGATTCATCAAAAATGGGTCCTTGCCCTTATACGGCCAACATGGCAACCAACTCAAAACCAACAGCAATCAAAAACAAGGTAGGTGAGGTGGACAGAAATAACCTTCAACAAAAATCATTGGTTTCAGTTTCTTTTTCCACAATGCTTTCGTGCATAAGTAACATGCATCATCAGAAGCAACTCAAGTACAGTCACAGGTAGCACAGTGAATCATAAGAAGGAAGAAGGTCACATAGGTAACAAGTTCAAATTACTGAAAATTTAAGAAGTAGTTGTTCCAAAAGAAGGAAACAAACCCTAATCCGTTCGCACAGCTTTTCTCACAAGTAAACCCACTGGACAAACCTTACATCAGCAATCAATACACGCATGCAAATGCAATGAAAACTTGAGGCCGGGGGTGGATGACGAAAGCTAGCGGGGTAGGAGAAAGAAGGAAGGGAAGACGTATCTTCAATGCCAGCGGGATGATGATGAGGAGGATGATCAGGATGAGGAAAAGAACATGATGATGCTGATGCTGATGCTGATGGTGATGATGATGATGATGATGATGATGATGATGCTCATGATGATGATGATGATGATGATGATGATGATGATGATGATGATGATGATGATGATGATGATCCTGATGATGATGATGATGATGATGATGATGATGCTCATGATGATGCTCATGATGATGATGATGATGATGATGGTGATGATGATGATGATGATGACGATGATGATGATGATGATGATGATGCTGATGCTGATGATGATGATGATGATGATGATGATGATGATGATGATGCTCATGATGATGATGATGATGATGAAGATGATGATTGATGATGATGATGATGATGATGATGATGATGATGGTGATGGTGGTGGTGGTGGGGTGTGGTGTGGGGTGGGGTGGGGTGGGGTGGGGGGGGGGCCCTTTCACGTGAAAAATCACGTGATGTCCTTGAGCAGCCCCCTGAATACTTGCTAAAGCAAGAAGACTCCAGCTAGCTGACGCTAGCTTTCGTGATGAGGAAAAAAAATCCGCAAATCACATCAACATTGATACAAATTCTGCACCATACCCAGTTGCAAAGAAAAACAGAAAACAGATATGTGACATGTTCGTTCAAACAATAAACACTCAAAAGAATAGGTATAAAAGTAGTAAGTTAATTTAGGTAGGTAAGGTAAGTATATTTAGGTTGGCAAAAAATGCACTAGTAAATGTTTGCCCTAGATTTAATCAAACTATAGTGAATTTGGTTGTAGGTCAAATTACTAATTTAGGATACTTCCATAAGTTTTGTATATCTTTGAGATTTGAAGGGAGAAATGATGAAAAATGCACTGAGGTCACAATAAATATGCATTTTGAGAATACCAAAATCAAAACTTGAAAAAAGAAAACACGCCGACTCATACTCCATCATTGCCACAAATTGTCTGCACATTGGCCCAAATTTATTCAAATTGTGCCATCCACTGGCTAGAGAAGGTGACAAAAAATCGCTGTCAGCAACACCATTTGGTGCTTTGATCTTTCTGAACATGATTTGGTGTAAATGGTTTTTATACCCAAAAAAAACTGTTACTTTGAGTTTGAGTTTTTAAAATGCTAAATTCCATGCGTTTTGTTTTTTAAGTTTTTTCCATGCTGCCCCCAACTTCCTATTTTGCCGAAATCCCCTCAACGGTATCAGTAATACGTATGTATGTTCTTTTTATAATATGTCTATAATATATGTGTGTATCTATCTATACCTACATGTGTATATACATATATATATATATGCGTATACGTATATATATATATATACTTTCAAAATATACTTATTATGTGGTGTCCGGCCTTGGAAGGGGTCTTCTGCAAACAGGGTCCCACGTTGACTCCAAGCCCAAGCCATGATCTTCTCGGCTCCCTGCGCAACTGTCCATCCACTATCGACCCGGCTGCGAGGCACTCACACCACCTGCACGTTGGCTTTCGGACCAAAGGCTTGTCACTGGCACCTGTGTGACGTGTCCCCAATCATCTGACATAAAAAGTGTCGCCAACTGGGGAAAAAACAACATGATTTGAAAGGTACCAACTCATTTGTTCGTTCAAACCAGTCATAAACAAGCTTGTCATGGCCAGGGAAAGACTCCGCCAACTGGGGTCTTTTTGCATTTTGCCTCACCATCATTTTTCTGGTTTTTCGATCCAAAAGTTTGGCGTTTTGATGATGCTGAAAGGAATCATTTTTTTTGCAGCTAAGAGCTCCAAGGATTTAGAGTACCTGTAGTTTGAATGCCATCGAACAGGAACGCTGCACAACGAGCAGACCATGGAGATCAGATCCAAATCATTGATGAATCCAAAGCTGACATTGCAAACAAGCTGAAACAAACATGATCTGACCTGGCAAGAAGCTCCTGAAGACAGTGAATTGTGGCTCTGGACTTCGTAGGACATGGATCAAATTAACCCCAACATCAATCGCTGTATGGCAAGGACACTGCCACAAGACTCAAAGAGTAAATCAAACAAGCAAACAAAAAAACGGACAGACCTCTGTCACACTTTCACCACGACCTAGACCCTGCCGCACACGCAACACGACCCTTGACAACATGACATGTACTACCCTCATCAGATCAATGAGCGAGACACCAAGCCACAACATCTGGAACCCAACGCGTCCACCCGCACAACGCTTGTGCCGTAGCTATCAACATTGAGGAAGAACGTTCGGAAAGTGAATGAACATGTCGCAGGGTCTTTCACAAAAATAGTGTATCTCTTTGCAGGAGCAGATGAAAAACGATTGGAAAACTATCAAATGCATAAAGGAGACTCTGTATGTCAAAAAACTATTTGTATGCTGAACAGTTTTGAAATTCCCAGTATTTAATGGTATTTATATCAACCGATACACCTCCACCCCAAATTTGCTCAGGCTTCATGGAGCTATGTCAGGCTATGTCCCATCTGGATCCATCTGGCACCTCTTTGTCCTGGGCGGATCACCTGTCGAAACATGTCGAAACATGTCGAAACATGTCGAAACATGTCGAAACATGTCGAAACATGTCGAATTAGCATCCCTCATTTGCATTTCATTTGCATCATTTCCCACATATCTACAGATTCAAAAAAAAAAGGAAGAAGTTGCCTTGAGCGAACCATGAACACAACAAGCCCAGACCTGATTCCAGAGCTTCCACCTCGGCTGATTGCAGCAAGTACAGATACAGATGTCAAGTTAGAAGCCAGAGTTTCAACTACCAAGACACGTGCAAACAATCCTACAAATCAAACCTGCGCATGCAAAGGCACAAGTCGGGCACAAGAATGAGAAGAGCCCTTTTTGCTCTCAACTTGCGGCTTGGTCTGATCCGGTCTGATCTGCATACGTCTGCATCTACACCAGATCCGGCTTTCCTACAAAGCTTCTGCAGTGCTCCAGCCTTATCCCGTGAAGTGAAGATTGCCCTCACTCCAAACATGGAAAAGACCGATGCCACCGACATAGTGCACGGCAAGCCCAAGGATGAAGGTCATGACAAAACCTGCCATATCTGACATGGCAGGGTGCCGGATGAAAAATGAGCACTGCAGTCGCTCTCGGTAGTGCTTCACATCGCGCGAGAATTTCTCATCGTTTTCACTTGGGACATTCACTGCATAGATATCGCTGTGCGCCACATGATGAAGAGTATGCCACTGAATGCAAGACTTGTGAGGCCACATATTGTGAACGACGAGGTTGGGGCCCACGGAGTTGGCGTTGAAATAGAAGTAAGGAACGCAGGCCAACGTGTTGCAAAAGAAAAGAGTGCCACCTTCTATCCACACTTCCCACAGACCTGCTGCTGGGGAAGTTGGATAAGTTCCTTTGCAAATGTGATGCTCCAAATGGACCAGGCGGTATAGCGGTTGGATTTCATGACAGAGTTTGTGCAGCCAAGCAAATTTGAATTGCACCATTTGATGCAAAAAGATGTATTCCAGAATCACCACCACAAAGTGGATAAAGTGGAATGGGAAACCTTGGTGAGAGGGCTGGAGGGTGATCAAAACACTGTGAATTCTTCGATGTTTGGTGATCAAGATAGTTGATCTAGATCTTCAGGTGCTAAGAAACCTCAAAGTAAATACAATGGAATGGGAAGTGTTGTCTGAATAAAGGTTGTTCTGGGACTCCAACCCGTGCGCATTTGGATCATGGCAAGTGCTGTCTGTACTTGCAGAACAACGGCCAATTGGGACGTCGTGTACAAGATCTCCATCAACGCTTCTGATTTGCTCAACTTGTTGTCTCGTCCCAAGCATTCCTGAACCACGCGGAATCCTTCACACCACAGGGGACAGGTGACCAGGAGCGCCAAACCCATGAGGTAGAGCATCAGGATGGAGTTCCTAAGAGCTGAAGACAACAAAAAAAAACGAACAAATTGTATCACACAGCACAGTGAACAACACTGCAACACTGCAACACGTCACTACAGTCACTACAAGCTCGAACTTCCTTGAAAGACTTTGAAAGTGCTTTCAGTTCTTTCAATCTCCAATCCGTTTGAACTTGAAATAATTGAAGTCCTGTACTCGTAGCATGTCGTAATGTCGTGGCTACTCATGGCACCCACACCACTGGCATCCAGCAGCAGACCCCACAACCGAAGCACAGCGAAGCCAAATCTCTCGAGGTCACGGAGCGAAACAACAGCCCCTGACACTTTTTGATACTTTTTGTACGCTCAATGACTCAAGAGATCGTGCAAAGTTTTCAACATGTGAGTTACTTTCAATTACTAATCACAATTATAGTCACAATTAACCCAGCATACAACCCCAATAGCAAAGTTTCGCATTTCCTTTGACGCCCACTTTTGCATTGACCGAGACACCACCGACGAACGAGACACCACCACCGAGACACCACCAAGATACCACGGAGACACCACCGAGACACCGCCGAGACACCGAGACACCGCCCAGGCCGGCAGCCGTGAACTCGACGGCGCCCGACCGCCTTTAGGGTTAACTACCCCAAGCTATCGCTATTGGGGAATTAATATCACAATTCAATTAAGTAATATGTTTTCCCGCGTGCAGACTTCCGATTCCATGCCGCGTTAAAAAGATATAAAACTGACTCAGGCAGCAAGGGATCTGCACCGAGATCTCAATGGTGCTCATCGGAAACATTACATATCCCTTCCACGCAGATGGAAGGAGACCTTCGAGAAGAAGCAGGGCGAAGTAACGAAGGGCCACTTGGCTGAAGGACACGAGAGAGATTGCCATGGCCATGGCCCAGTTGTTCAACCATCCCAGTAGTGAAGACAATGAGATTTGCCACATATTCTGACGGAAGATGTAGTAGTAGTAGCAAAGCCCCATGACAAGCGTTGGCATCAGCGAATACAAAGCAATGAAGCGATTGTAGTCTGCAGAGAAACCTGCTGCCCAATTCAAGAACATCACAAGGATCACATATGAAACGACATTCAAAACCAGGGTTGGACCCGTGGCAACTGGAACGAAGAGTTCCTGAATTTCCTTGGTCGCTTCAGCATGAGACTCCCAACATTTGGCATTGTAACAGATACCAACCTTCCAGGTGAAGGCATAAGCTCGCAGGAATTTGTCCAAAGCTTCCATCGCGGCTCACGGCTTCACCGTGGCCCGGATGTGAAACCCGGTTCACTGCACGAGGCTCAACGACTGATACGACTGCAAATGCTGCAGGCAACAGTTTCGGCTGCACAGTCGCATCGTGCAAACATATGGAATTTCAGCAGCTCAGCCATGGTAATACTGTAACTCTATAACATTGAATCAGCATGACAGCCCAAAGATGCCCAAAGTTTGTTGCCTGTTCTACATAACTGGCATATAACTGACAGTTAAGCGAGTTTGTTGCAAGACATTACAAGATATTGCAAGACAGGGTGAAGTGCCCCATCCCAAGTTGATCCCAGCAGCCTTGAAGATCCCTTCGAGGCAATTCGTTGCTGTGGCTACGGCTCTGACGCTGCTTACTGCCTCGGGAGATCAGTCCTCAACTGCCTCAACTGCTGCACATTTCGGGATTACCATTGATTACCATCAAAAATAATCATCAAACACCATCATGCAGCAGTCATGCAGCATATCCTAAGGCTCCTGCAAGAGTACCATTGTCGGCCCCTTGGACAATTTTTGGAGTCGAATGATCACCAGAAATCCTTCGCCAGAAATATTTCGCACCAAGATTCCTCAAACATCTGAAACATTCTGAAACTGAGTAAAGAGATGTGAAGAACCAGTGATCACCAGTTCAAGACGTTTGGAGCCGGATGCATCTAAGATTCAAACCCACAGCCAGGCGAGCCACGCCATTGCAACGGCAGGTTTCTCCCAGCATGGCACATGGGTGCCATTCCTGGGCCTGTGGATCTCAGCAGCTTTCCCAGCGGATCCCAGCGCTATGTCGGGTTTCGCTGGTGAACACTACCAGCAAGTAGAGTTACATACTGTAAGTGATCCACAACCGCAGTGATGTGGATAGGATAGTAATTACATAAATGTGGGAGTTTGGAGGTTGGAATCTGGAGTTTGGAGTCTGACACGCAAATGATGTTCAACCTGGAAGCCTTGCCAAAATATTTATCTGGCTTTGGAAAACGGAAATTAAGATATTGCGGGCCACGTTCAAACACCCAGCGAGCCTCGTCTGTAGGAACTGTCTCCTGAAGGCAAACTCAGACATGTCTGTTTAGGCTTCAACCACTGGGTATCTACAGTTATCTAGCAACCATGGATGAGAAATTTGGTCTCAAACACGGCCGCAAAGGCCTCGACATGTCCTAAATTCCATGATGTTCATTGATTTTCCATCCTTTTTCCTTTCGTCACAGTGCCACTTGTGCCATTTTATGCTGTACTTTTCAAGAAACTCCCCTCTCCAGCACAGACTTGGTCTTCTGCCGCGCCCGCTGAAGAAAATACCTGAAGCACACGGAGATGACACGGATAGAGCGGCTTCCAAGTTTGTTCTCGCAGTACGTAACAAGATCGGAGGAAAAAGTCGTAGCGAGCCATAAGTCATATTTATGCAAATGCTGCAAAGGGTAGTTCACAACTAATCGTAATCTACCTGAGAGTACGTTTTGGCCACGAATGCCGCGACAGGCTTGATAGTGAATCAATGTGAATCATCTATAGAGCTTTCCTCCACTTTCAACTTGAAGCTAAGTCAGCGACAATAATTTGGCACCTATTGGCTCATGCAGCTGAGGCAGTTCCTCTGCACCAAATAAGTTGTGTTTGTGCAAAAAGTTCCACCTGACCCGTTTTGCAGAGATCCAAACGAATGCCTGTGACACCGTTTTTAAACAGTGATCACATCAGCTATGACGAGTTGACCGATCCTCAAGGAAGTCCATCTGCAGCTTTGCGCTCTTTTTCTGCGCATGCCGAGACTCCGCATCCTGCGACACAATCAATGGACCAACCTCAACCCCTCAAATCCCCTCAACTATCCTCATCTCATGGCGTCGCCAAGGGTCACTGGTCTGATGCAATCGAATGTTGATGAGTGACGGTGTCCCTACATTTGGTTTTAGCTCCGATAATATACCCACTTATAGACTAAACAAGTTCTCAGGAAGCAGGGATATCACGTCGCAAAAATGAATGGAAGACTGGAGGTTAGAAGATGTTAGAAGCAACATTTCCAGAAAAGGTCCTTGTCAACTTGCACGTCCTGCAGCAATCGCACGTGAATCGGTTCATCTTTCTGAATCCAAAGATCAAAGATCCGGCCGGCAGTGCTTCTGTTTGTGGCAGTCCGTCTCGGAGCGAGTGCTAGTCTCCATGTAGAGGTCCTGCGAAATGAATTTAAAATAATGGAAATGAAGTATTGCCACCATATGTTGTCACAATGCATTGCGGCCTTTGCGCACATCACATCCAGACTTGATTGGCGCAGTGTAGCAACTGCTTCGAGCTCAGGTGGTTAGCCTCCTGTACTACAGGTGCCACGGCCCACAAGAAAACCAACTCTGACTCCTTCATCGCGCTCACCAGCAGCAGCTGCAAATCCATTTCCTTTCAAAGCAGAAATGTGTTGCAGGCCTGCAAAATATTTCGGGAAACACATTTACAGATTCGGGAAAGCTGCAAGCATCTTTATCATCTCTATAGTCTCCCTGTCCAAAGTGATATATGACATTAGTTCAACATCTGGAAGTTCTGTCATGCACATCTTTTCCAAACTCGCCTGTGGCAGCAGGCTTTTTCTAGATGCAGCCCTTGTCAAACCTACCAGGCAGCTGTGCATCGATTCCATTCGACTTGTGGGTGCACGTGCCATGCAAATGTGGGAGGATTTCCCAGCCTGGTTCTAGCAATGTGACAAGCAACTCGTTCAGGAGATCGTCCAAACTAAAGACCTGCAAAGTCCACACACACAAATCAGTGGCAAACCCATCTGCTCTTTTCTTCAAGGACGTGTGGACATGTGTGGACTATTTCCAGGAAAGTACGGTAACAAAAGCACATTCTCAAAGATCTGTTGGCATCTTGGATTTCAGATATCTGCACAGCCTTTGGGCCCGTCGACAGGAGCTGCTGCCTACAAGAGGCAATGTCAAACTCACTGGGTGAAATGACATGGTGAATCCTTACGCAATCATACGCAATCAATATCAAATGCAGATGGCAGGTTTGAGCGAAATGCCAACCAGAACACTTCGCACGGCTAAGATCCATCTTATTGCCCATGCCTCATACGATGTTAAAAACATATCCAAACATATCCAGACATCATGAAAAATGTGCACAGTGAGTTGTTGGGCTCTTGTCATCCGGGATGTCTGCAGAACTGAAAAATCTGTTGGTCCCCTCTGTTGGGCCTGTAGATCTGCAGCATCCTCTTGGGTCGAAGTAGTTTTCTCAGCAGGTCCCCTGCAGGTGATCTCCGACAGCTGACGTGATGAGCCCGGACTCCCTCGACATCGGCCTGTCATTTGATGAACTAAATTCGAGATGTCGACGCTGGTGACATCTGCTTCTTCACCTGCCAAAAAAGAAACACTGCTCATGAAAGCGCTCTAGAATGACTCAGTTGGAAATGTTCTCAGCAGAGGCCTCATCTCCCCTGAATGCGTCATTTACATTCATTTACAACGTCTAGTGTTCATAGGCAAATCAACTTCCAGGCAACTGTATCCGAGCATTCTGACCTTCCATCAAGAATGGGAGATTTTCTTCAGGTGGTGTCAGCCCATTCTCAGATGGCCTGAGTATTTTCGAATGGTGTCTGGGCCTTCAACGTGCGTCGTTTTGCCTGTGATCCAGCCATTGGATCCATCGACTTGCCCGATAAGGTTTGGACCGCAATATCCGAAGCAAAAGTGCCAAGGCCCGCTGTTGCTGCAGTGGATCAATGGGCCTCAACAAGGCAGGATGAGTGCAGTGATTCCTGCTCCAAGAAGTTGAAGCAAATGCTATTTGGCAATTTGTTGACCATTTGGGAATTCAATATATAAATGTAAAACAATGAGTATTCAGCTTTCATTTGGCAATCAAATATATACTATAATTGACTATAAGACTGAAATATCTAATATTCAACAGCATTCCATGATACTCAATGGTATTCAGTGGTATTCAACGTCTCAAAACCTTGCGACCCTGTGCCTGGCTGAAAAACTCATTTCTCCTCGATGGAGGAAGTGATCCTGGCAATTCACTGCGCAAAGCGCAGCTGAACTGCTGACTCACTGCTGACCATATTGCAGCATATAATATCATATAATATTACATTTTATATGGCATATTGCATTCCGATTCTTCAAAAACTACTGCCAAAATGACAACTCACTTGAAGCTATTCGAATGTTCATTGAATGTCCGAACATGTCCTAGCCATGTTGAATTGAGGCGTGAATCATGGTGGACGTTTGACTTTCCCTATTTGCAAAGGATTAGGGGAAATATGTGCGCAATTAGTCAATGAATGTTGCGCAATTTGGAGAAGTGCCCCACCTGCGATGCTGTGAACCTATGAGGATTTACAAATAGCTTGGCTTCATGTTCGAACAGTTTGGATCTCTTTCGATTTGCTGGACAGTGTGGTAACCCTAGGCCCTAGTTCTTCAGTCATCACATGATATCTCATGACTGTCATGACGTGTGCCTCGATGCCACCCAGCCAGTGCACCAACTTCTCTCCAATCGATTTGGTCCGATCAAGCATGGCAGCCACTGCCTCACAGCATCTCGGGCCACTTGGAACACTTGGAACACTTGGAACATCGACTGTTTAAAGTGCAAAACAATCTAAGGACAAACTACAGCTCTTGACAAGGCAAAAAAAAGTACAAACATTTGCGTGCATATGATATGTAATGTCATAAGTCATAAGTATGATTACGTATGATTACGTATGTATATAATGTCAAATGTGTTTGGTTGAAAGGTGCTCGGTTTGCACACCACAACAAGTAGTAATCTTGCATGATGCGCCCCTCGAAGCGGAAACGAACCCAACACGGTCTTGTTCCGCGCCTCACCATAGAGGCGATATGGCTCGCCAGGGGCTACAGACATCCTGGGCTGAAAGTGTTCAACTCTTCAGTGCGAGATTCATCAACAAATCCACCTACTACTGAGATGTTTCTGTGCTTTTCGAATGGACAGAACTGGTGTTGCATCTAGTTCCAAAAATGTAAGCAGGAAACCAAATCAACCTTTCCTAAAGCCGAGGTGCTCCAAAAGTCTCTTGTGTGCAGCAATGTATCTTTCGATTTCTTGCTCAAAGTAGGTGATCGGTTCCTGTCAGGCGCTGCACAAGCAACATGCAAGTGGATGCCAATTTGTAAGAATGTCAATTATATAGTCTACAACCCTGGAAGACTTTCAAAGATACCTACGATACCTCGAAACCACAGTCATCAAACACAAATCAATCATCTCCTGTCCTGGCTCATGTCATAAGCCATGCATTTGGGATCCTCACCAGACTCGCCGTCGTCGTAGCAAACCTCCATATCCAGGTCTGTGATGGTGTGTGTGTGTGGATTCTTCGAAAATAGGATGCAAAATGATGCAAATGTATAGTATCTAAAAATATCCGTCACTAAACACAATAAATCTCAGCGCTGATACACGTCTCACTGACATGAAGTTGCTTCTCAAGGCCAGCGAGATCGGAAATTCTAACATGTTTCGAATCTGTTTCATCTTTTTGCTCTACGATCGGGATCAAAATTGTCCGTCACAAGTTGCAAGACACAGAGCCCTCTTTTTCTGGAGCATTGGCATCATTTGGCACCGGCGCGGATCACACCATATTCATATCGGACGGAATTATCCTGACAGTGAGGCCAGGAGAGTTTCAAAAGTAGCTCTTCATTCATGCGGTAGGCTGCACGTTTGCACAGACAGAACGATTCAACTAGCTGGCAGAATTTGAGTTGCTGAAATCAACTGACATGCATGGCCTTTCAATGAATCTTAGGTCAAAAGAGTTTACACAACACACCCAGGGACTTGCTGCTGGTGCCTGATTTGAATAATGGCACCCATGCATCTTTCACTAGCAAGTGAGAGATGGAGGTAATTCCGCCGCTTTTCCGTAACCTCGGCAGTGCGTACCGGTCCTTGTCATGCTGATCCTTGCTGCTATATCTGCTATTTGCTGCTCATGATCCCTACATGGTGAGCAATGGATGAAGCTTTGCACAGCGGATATGCTTCGGGCTGTAAGGCATCCCGGTGGAGATGCACTAAAGCCATAGCCCGTGGGGTAGTGCAACTCCTCCACGGGGAACGCCGAAACGCCACATGAACCAGTTTGAAAAATGAACAAACTTTGGGAAGATGTGGGAAATCAGAGATATTCAGCAACATGTTGCACATTTCAATAGGACTGAGGCATCTTGTCCGGGATGACTTTGTGCCAAACTTGGCCTGCTGGTTTTCTGGGATCTTGTCCCTGCCTCGTTGAGGTAAATCTCTGTGGGCGCATCCTGGCAAATGATGACTACAAGTCGACACACTTCCAAGAAGTAGAGCCAAGGATCTGACATGACCTCTTGTTTGTCACAGATTCTTTAAACATCCACTATGAATGCGATGTGAATCAGCATGAATCAGAAGCCTTCACAGTCGCTACAAAGTCCAAGGAAAAGCTTCGCTTAAAGCTGTCATACTCCATGTGCAAAGGCTTGCCAGCGATAGCTTGGGCATAGGTGCCTCAGACTGTCCACAGACCGATCCTCGAATCATGCTGTGCAGTGAATGCTTTGTCTGCCATAAGGATCCATAAGGCACATGTTATTCTCGTGGCAGTTCTGGGTTTTGTAGGTGTTCGGAATGGCTTGCTTCAATATGCTAATTCTCATACTTCGAATCTGCACAAGTCAAGAAAACGTGCGCTGAAAAACGTGAACTGTACAGAAATGCTCCGTCCTGTCAAAATGCTGTGATTTCTGTCTGGCTCAGCACTGGTCAGGAAAGAAAAAGAAAGACAGAAAGACAAAGGCTAGTGGCGGCTGGTGGCGCCTAGTGGCTTTTCCTTCGATTGGGTTGCAAGGAAAGGATAGGAAAGGACTTCGGACTTGGGAAAGGATACAAAAGGTGGAACTTCCCTCTGAAAATTGTAGCCAACCTAGCTAATGTGCAAGAAATTCATGATGCTTTTCCCACTTCGGTCGCCGGTCGCGTGCCAGGTGCTAGATCTCTCAACATGTGGATAGGATAGGTAAATCAAATTATTGGTCGATAATCATTGAGGGGCAAACCGGAACTCGAATTCTCGTAACTTGGGGCATAAGACAGAACAAGATGAACAAGACCAAGCTGCGTGAGAGGGCACTGAGCTTGTTGACTTCAACCTTTCCATCTTGGGTAAAGATGGCTTCTCCATCGTTGGACTTGGCACGGGACACAACAAATCAAACTTGTCTGCTGTTGAACTGGTGGGTGTTTCTGGTTCTGCTGCATCACTTGTGTCGATCAAAATGTCTACCATTGCAGCAAGACACGGTAGTGAAGTCGTGGAATCTCTTGAGCTGCCAATAAGTCCAGCTCTGCATGTGCTTGTCGGCGGCATGCAGCAAATCTGCAAGTGGCAAATGGATCTTTTTTTGGGCATCTGTGGGGCATCTGTGGGGTCTGGGTAACAAATACCTGAAGAATTCCAAGCCAAGTTGCTGCTGATGTGTTTCACCTCATTTTTGTTGCCCCTCACTGCGCCGAACTCTGTCATGAAGCCCGGCATGCTGTGCTTATGCAGAAAGGGATAGTAAGTGCCCTCCTGAGGCTAGACGGCATGAGTCCGCAACTGGAGGGCACTTAGGAATTCTTAGGAATTCTTAGGATGTTAGGAATTTTAGGAATTGTGGCAGAATTTTGGAAGCTCCACCTGGTTCGCACCTGGATATTATACAAGTCATGGTAGAGAGGGTCTTTCATCGTTGACAGGGTCCACCCTCCCTTCCACTGAGGACACTGTAGAATCAGGTAGAATATATATATATATATACATACATACACCCCTTATATATATATTTATATTTATATTTGTATATATACACCCCTTTAATCATCAGGTAGAATCCAAGAGACAAGTCAATACGTTGATTACAAGACCATTGAGGGATATGTTCCGGGTATGTTGCCCAGCTTTGTCATGCTTTGTCCAAGTATCAAAGATCGATTGAGCAGCTTCACACAACAGACCAGCCGGCCAATTGTCACCATCACCTCAGACCATCGCCGGACCGCTGGAGATCTGTCCGGTGTCCTCCGGTGTCCTCCGGTGTGATCCGGCCTGGTGCGCAATAGATATGATACGCCAAAGCCTGCTGTGGATCTGTGCCGAGGGCTGGTGCTGGAAACACCTCACGTGGAAGTTCGATGTGACCAGAAAGGTTGAAGCAGTTGTTCACAATCTCAACTGAATCTCTTGCAGATTCTGTGGTCAATTTGGAAGTGAAAGCCGGGGTTGAAACTTGAAATACTTACACGGCCGCTGCATTTCAGCACGATTTGATTCAACAATGAAGCTCACGAAGGCATTTCAGCAAAGGAGCATCCACGCCGATCTTGGGCAATGGTGTTCCTTCGTAGAAGATGACCTGGAAACAGTTGCAAGAAATCCAAGCCCATCTCCAACCAAAGAAAAATTCATCACATCCATTGACATCCATTGACATCCATCATCCATCTCCAAACATAACAAAGTTCTTGTTACTCCGATCGTCCCATGGTCCGATAGCTTCTTGTCGCTACTGGTATCGATAAGTCACCACGACTCAAGCACAGTCGCCTGTTTCGCACTGTTGCCACGTATCACACGTGCTGCAGCCTGGTAGAGCGGTGTCAAAAGGTAGGCCTCCAGAATGGATGAAAAGCAGCTTGAAGCAGTTTTGGTCAGCTTGAATCCATCCTGTGGAATAGCAGTGAAAGAATCCTCCGGGTGGGCTTTGGCTGTATCTTATGTGCATAAGAGGCACGACGACTCACTTGCAAAAGATTGAGGAGGTATGGAGTTTTGCATTCGGGCCATGTTCCAAAGGCTGGTCATGTCACACTCTGAGGCAAATTTGGGCAAAACCCAGCTCAAGCCTCCACATGGTTGTTAAAGCGTAGCGGCATTGCACGCCCTTTCAGTCGACATCCAAATGTGTCGCTTGCCTCTGCTTGACTGGCTAGGACCGCAGAGGTCCTTATGAAATGTGTAGTTTTGGGGGGCTGGAAACTTGCTAATCTTATATTTTGTTTAACCTTTTTCACTTTGATATACATCTGCCTTGTGAACAAGTCAGAATATGTCAAAAATATGTCAATGTCCAGTGCCACAGCCAGCCTTCAAGCAAGTGCCAGATGGCTCGTTCAACAGCTCGTAGGCTAGGAGATGTGAAGCATCCTGAAGGTCATCTGCGCACCACTGAGAGAAGCTGCAGGAATCCTTCACACATATCAAATCACAAGACAGGGAAATGATGAGAGATACACGGAAATATATTGATATCTAATGTAGCTAATCTAGTTGCAACATCAATCTACATCAATCCTGTCTGGCACGACTCCCAGGGCCGCACCTTGAACTCATTGGACACCGCCCCCCAGAAACGCAGGAAACCGTTTTGGAGGTTGGAGCCTCGCTTCGCAGGAACTGCAAGAGTTGCACAACTTTGCTGCAAGGTGAGCAGCCTGCTCGATAGAGCTCAGAGAAGAGAGCGCCCACTTGATAAGTGCTGTAGTACTCGAAGAACTGCCTGGGAGAATGCAGCATTCCAAGCGACTACAGCATTCCCCATACTTCAACTCTGGTCAAAAATCACAAAAAGGCCATATCTTTTTGCGGGGTTTAGAGTGGGTGTGCTTTGCACACCCCGCCTTGCTGTGCAGCATGTCATTGTTGGTCCAATTTATAGATTTTGATATACCGTCTACTAATGTCTACCATATATACCATGAGAGAAATTGCCCTCAACGGAGACCCCGCGGCCTGCTCAAACATCGATCAAGGTCGGGGAAGCCACTCGCATTGACAGGCATATCTGGGAAAGGTTGAGGAAATCGTGGAGCCTCACTGAGCAAACTCGACAAGCTCTTTCCAAACGAAATTCACTCAGCTGCGGCTCTGACAAGAGAAGTTTTTCCCAGCCAGGCCTGGAACATCTGGCTCTTTGGATCTTTCATCAGTTCTTCCACATAGGCCTCCAGTGACTTCCAAGTTGTTTCGAAATTGACAATGCACTGCAACCAGCCACCTTCAACTCACTATCTAGGGTGATGAAATATGCTAAGACCATGCACATGTATGTAATTAAAATCAGGATGATATAGACTGACTTGTGTCTAATAAATGCTGACAATATGTTTTCTCGGTTGGAGATAAGTCTTGATTCCAGAGGCTAGCTACAAGAGCTGCACCTCGGGCACACCCTCGCCACAGAAGTGTCGAGAACCCAAGTCCTGCAGCGTGCAATCCCGTTTTGTGCTTGAACAGTTGGGCAAGTTGGGTATTTCAACATCCATGCATTCCATGTACACAGAACTCCAAGCTTTGGTTTCTGCAATGCCGTGCACTGTCTTCTGGAAGATCACATGTAGCAATGTAGCCGTCTATCGTAAAATAGTCACAAATTGCTTTCGTTGTTGTGAGTTCCATTGTCTATTGATACACAGTTTTACATTGGGAAGAAAGTCGTTCAAAGATTTCGTGTTTTTACGATGCGACTAGAGGAACTCCCGGAAAAAAACACTCAGCTGTCAGCTCAGCTCGGCCAGCTTTTTGTCGGCTCTGGATGCTGCAGTTTTTCCAGGTGCCTCGGTGCCTCTGCGTCTAGTCGACCTCAAACTTGTCAACGTATTCAATCTCCTCCTCTTCTTCATCAATTTGCGCCCATTTCTTCTTCCCTACTGGCCTCTGAGGTTTGTTCTCCTTTTCCTCTTCAAGCTCCTCTGGAGGAAGTGGTTTCTTTGGCAACTTCTTTCTGCCAATGTACTTGCTTTTCACAGCCGCATGGTCTGGTTGGATTTGCAAATCCTCAAAATTTTGCTCTGGAGCCTTGGAGCTCTCCTTCAGGGCAGAACTTTTCACTTTTTTTTCGTTTTTTTCATCTTTCTTTTTTGGCTTCACCTCCTTCTCAGCATCCTCCTCGGCATCATGGTCATCTTCCTTGTCATCCTTCTTCGGATCCTTGTATTTGCTCACCTCTCTCTGGATTGCATCCTTTTCTCTTTCGCCCTTCTTCTTGCTGACCAGGGCCGGCTTGATGTCCTTTGGCCGCTTTGGTCCGTCTTCATCATCGTCATCATTCTCAAGAGTGGCGAAAATGTTCTTGGAGGTCGCAATGTTGACCTGCCCACTCTTGTCTTCTAAATGAATTGCTGAGGAAGCTACGGATTTGGCCAAGGAAGGATATCTCTTGTCATCCTTAGGGTCTGAGGTGCCCTTGTTTTTTATCACGCCCCAAGCAGGCGCAACGGCTTCCTCTTCCTTTTCTTTCTCTTCTTCTCTAACTAACTTTCCTGCCACTTCTACCTTCATGGTCGCTTGCACGACTTCCTCTTCATGCCAGCCATCGTCCTCTTCGGTTTTCTTCTTTTGCTCCTTCTTTTCCTCTGGCTTGTCATTCATGGAATTGTTCAGGTTGGAGCCCTTGATCTTTTTCTTCTTGTCTTTCTTGAAGAAGTCATTCAGGGACGACGGCGGCCCCTCGGCCATGTCTGGATCTGGGTGATCTGGGCGTCTTACAACGGTTCCGGCTCGTTCGAGTCCCAACAACCAAATTTGCTGGTTGCTGCTGCTTCGCTGTGCTTGAGCCAAATTTCTGTCTCTTGCAGACCATATACAGAGCACAACTACACAAATTAGACGAATACATATTAAACCCCTCTGTGCACAGGCCTGTGTAGCGAATAAACACCATAAGTCTCTACGTGAATATCTCGTGATTCTGTCAGCTGTCAACCGCTTGTGACATTGTGCTTGTGCCCAATGCGGTGCTGTATGATGCTGCTCTCCCTGTCCATGACGCATCTCATGCCCAAGCCTGATGAAGATCTGCAATGGTGTAGATGCCTCGCTGGGCCAAATCTGCAGAAAGCTGACCAACTCGCTTGAGATAGCCTTGGCTCATCGCTTAATGAAATCTTGAGGGGTTGGTGTGCAAGTGTGCCACTCACACTGGACCTTGCTACAGGGATCATAAAGTGGTGAAAACAAATGCAAAATGCACATGCGATGCACATCGTCTCTGGCTCTGCCTGGCGACTCTGGTCTATTTGCCCAGGTGTGGGTTCCACTCCTGGCCACATCACGCCCAGCCGAACCACGTTGAAGCCCCAATCCTCACAGGTCACAGGTCAAGCGAAACGTTTTGGGCATCTTCAGTCGAGAGTGCATTTACTCCTGCTTCCCACTACTCAGTTTACTCCCCCATGCCCTGGCTAGTTTTATAAGTAAAATTGATTAAATTGTAATGATTTACAAATCTGGCACAACGCATTGCTAACCAGGGAACATTGCTTCGCCAAACAAACTGTGCAAGTAACATCAAGTAACTCAAGTATGCCAAGCCTGTAGGAAGTCCATGGTCTTTGGATCAAGTGAATCTTCTGTGAAGTCATCTGTCTTGGGAAGCCATGGGCTCTCCTGACACCGCAAATAGCAACGACTGATGAATGCATACGATGCATACGTTCAGGCGTGTGGGTTGATTGTGAAAGGTGTGACTTCCCAATACGCCTCCATACTTCTCAAGTGAGACATGCTGTTTCAGTCTCAAAGTCCCTTCAAGTGAACGATAAATCCAGCAATGCGCAGGATGTCCTTCAGCACAGCATTGACTCCATGAAATATGCGAACTCTGCCATACTTGTCAATGAAGTGGCCCGTTTCAGGATCCACAGATATCTGGCCTGCGGCATGAACCACCCTCTTTGCTCCAAACACAAGTCTGCCCATCAATTTGTACGGTGCTCATCTGCTTTCTCTGGCTGGAGTAGTCTATTGAGGAGCATTAGAAAGGGTCCATTCGCTTGCCTACAGCTATATGGAAGTAGTTGAAGTAGCTTTCAGGATTCCAATATCCACAGCTGGATATCTGAATCATTTTGTACAAGAGAAGTTTCCATTGCAATGGTGGTGCCGTCTTCAGATTCTTCAGTTTCAGTCCTAGGGATACAGTAAGCAGCAGCCCTTATTTCATTTCCATACGCCGCCTAACTCAGCAGCATGAGCGGCAACGCACACAGCGAGCAGCCGCCACATGAAGCTGACCTCAAGTGCTCTGTCCATTTTGGAACAGCATGGCAGCATGATTGTCAATGAGGATTTGAGGAGGAAAGGAAGGAGTGACTTCCCAAAGACATGCTGTAGCAACGCATCCATTCCAATCCATTCCCACCTTTTTCTGCTCTGGTTCTGCCGAGACTCTGTCAAATACCGCTGCAAGTACTTCTTGCAAATGGCTCGAATGCAATGTTGACAGAGCAAGTTAAGAAGCTCTTTGTTGTGTTCTAGCTTGATGAGGTCGACCAGTGTCAACCAGTGTCACCATTGAACTTGAAAGGCTTGGCATTCCCTTGAAAGAGTGAAGCAAACCAAAAAGTCAAGGAGAGAGACCACAAATACTTTGTCACTTCGCGCCGGGCGACAGTGCATCTTCATGTTTTCCTATTAGGCTGTAGACCTACGAATTGAATTCTTGGAGCCAAACGGTTTATCAATGGATAAGAGTGCTGTCATCGAAAAGCTGTCTACATATCTATATCATTCTACATCATTCTACATCGTTCTACATCATTCGATCTATCTAACTATCTATCTATCTATCTATCCATCCATCCATCCCATCCATCCATCCATCCATCCTATCTATCTATCCTATCTATCTATCCATCTATCTATCCTATCTATCCTATCTATCCTATCTATCCTATCTATCCTAGTTTATCTATCTATCTAATCAATCTATCTATCTACCTACCTACCTACCTATATACCTATCTATCTATCTATTTATCTATCTATCTATCTGTCTGTCTGTCTATCTATCTACCTACCTACCTATCTATCTATCTATCTATCTGTCTAGTCTTACCTTATCTTATCTTATCTGATCTTTTCTTATCTTATCTATCTAATATATCTAATCTATCTAACCTATCTATCTATATGTCTGTCTATCTATATATCTATCTATCTAGTCTAGTCTTATCTAATCTTATCTACTCTAATCTAATCTTTGTTCTGAAAGATCCAAAGAATGCCACTGAGTTGGTCGTTGTGCCTCGAAAGCCTCTGCTGCCTTCAAGATCTGTTGGAGCTCTGGAGCAACTCTTGGTGGCCACACGTCCTCTGCAAGAGGTCACTGGGTTATCTTAATGTTCTCTTAATGTGCATTAATGTTTGTTTATCAATGTGTTTCCATGTTTATTAATGTTTATCAATGTTTATCAATGTTTATTAATGTTTATGAGTAATATTATATGATATATGATGATATATGAATATCATTTAATGATACTTAATGGTTGACTACTGGTTGAGCAATTGCCTTCTCACTCCGAATCCTCTGGCAACATGACAATGGGTTGCGATGGGTTAGAGCTGCACATGTCACGTTCCTTGATGGGCGTGTACCCAAAGGCGATCGCCAGCTTGTCATAGCCCCCGATGACTGGATTGAAGACATGTACCTGGCAACGGTGTAAAAACAGGGATGGGTCAAAACCCTGGTACCTAGTGAACCTCAAAATAGCTGGTAAATGGATGTTCATCCCCCTAAAAATAGTATTAATAGGTATTGATCCATACCCATATGTCCAACCTTCAAACTGTAAAGGGTCGTTGTGTTTCTTGAATCGTTGCCAGTCCTTGGATCGTGAATTTCATCGGTAAAAAAAAGTTCCAGTTTACTCAATCCTGCCCAGGTCAAAGCATGTCAAAGGGCACCTTCTGAGGATCATGTGCATCTGGAATGTTGGCGGGCAAGTAGTCCATGACCTCAGGATCTGGCTCTGGTTGTGGTCAAGTTCCATTGAGAATCTGCCCGGTGGCATTATAGCAGTTCCCTCTTGGGAGAGCTTGGCATCAAACACTTGCAGACAGGCCATTCTGTGCTGTGCAATTCTTGTCCTGACATCAAAGCACTCTCGTGTAACGAGTCGAAGTGGTGAATCTTGTTGAAGGTGTATCACATGTGCAAAGTCACCAACAAGCAGCAGCAACACAACCACTTTCCATCACTTTCCCATCTGCAGCTTCTCATAGCTTCTCCAAAGTGCCTTCAGGCACTCCAGAGTGATGCCAAGGCTACCCTTGAAGTTGTGCCTGTCAACTGCGGTGGATTGCACCAAAAATTCGGATCTGGCATCGCGATTTCAAACGCGTTTTTAGCGCTCTGAGCGCTCTGGAGGCTTTGGCGAACTGGGCAGAGAACCACCAATTTGCCCAGTTTGAAAAAAACCCGACTTCCATGAATTTGTCTCCTCCCAGGCCTGAGCCCAAGGATATGACCTGTTTCATGCATTACCTCAGTGATTTCATGCCATTCAAACATGTTCAAACATATGAAAAAACCACCAAAGATCATCAAAGGATGTGTTTTTGGACAACAGCGGCGCCAAGTTCATCGCAGCCAAGCTGCGACAGCTTTCAGCCCTGCGCCCAGCAACTCCTCCAATTCAGTGGCGTTCAACGTCGAAGAACGCCAGGAACGCCAGGAACGGAGCCCAGTGACAGTGGCACTTTTGTGACCTCCGGACATCCAGTAATCAGCCCTAAGGGTGGAAGATGAGGAATCCAAATTCATCCAAATGAAAGATACCTTCAATGCTTCAGCAAATTCACCCTGACTGATTTATTCCAATTCATTCCACAGAAGTTGCTTGTGACGGGAAAATATCCGGATCAGCAGTCACTGTGAAGTATCCGGAGAGTCAGCACACGCAACGTGACATGAAACAGTTGATTCTGTTGATTCCCATGCTGCAATGACGCTAGGTTCGCCTTCTATCCAAAAGCCAGGTCTAGGATGAAAAATCATGGAAATTCTCATTGAAATTCTTCAGTCCAGCTGACAAATTGTCGATGCTGCTTTTGCCATCACACCTGCCTTTCTCCACTCTAATCCCTGTGTTCACATCACTGCCTCAAGCCGATGGAGCATACATGATCCAGACGAAGCCAGTTCATTCCAAAACTTGCATCTGTCAGAATCTGTCACGAACACATTCTGGCCTTGCTGTAGGAGTCCAAGTGTCCTGGGGCTTCCAAGGAAAAAAATTATTGGATGCCAGGAACACGGCATAACACGGCTGCTTCAGATGCACTCGATGTCCAAAGCGCATTCTTGGGCCTTGCACTTGGCCCTCTTGGTAAATAGTCGTGAGTCAAGCCAGGCCTTATGGCATTTGCCGACTATTGCTATCAATGTCACATGCTTTGAACTTGTAAAGATCACACTGCCAATCAGTTTGAACCTATCAAAGCACAAAAATGAATGACATCTTGGCCCGGCCAAAGGAACTTCAACCAATGTGCTTTATTCTGTGGTGATATTCCTTGGATTCTAAGGACTGCCTGAGACTCAAGACGCCAAATCATCCAAGTCTTGAAGCCAAGCTTTGACCCAACCTGCGTAGGGATGTTGGGATTGCTGAGATCCTGTGAGAAATGGAGCTATCACTTGTGGGATTTTCTGGGATTTGTTGATCCATTTGTTTCTCTAAGTTCGTCGCCACTGGACATAACGATGTCGCTCTTGATAATCTCGCCACTTCGTGGGTCCACCTACACTCACAGAGAAAAACAACCTGAGGAAGAGACGGACGACCGAGCAATGCGTGCATGCTGGTGGCCCCGAGTTAACAGTAGGCTGCAAGCAACCACGCCTTCGCGACGCCCATGCTTACCACTTCATCTGCAGGCGTTCGCTAGTCATGTCAGTTTGAACTCATCCGATGAGAATTCTGGATTTTATTGGCTCTTCGCTCAACCAGCAAAGTCCTTCCTTTTCTGCATCGAAGACTCCTGATTGCCCCTTGGATTCACATCCCAAATTGGCCTGAGAGGTCCCACGAAATAGTGCTAAAGCGCGCATCTGAAATATCGTAATCCTGGAATTGACCAAATGGCGGTCAATTACAGTGCCATGCAGTTGGTGACTTGCCCATATCTTCCAGTGAAGGGAGACCTGGCAATTTTATGCCATTTTTACCTTCTGGAACTGACCAAAGTGGCAACTGTCAGGGAAAAAACAGCACTTGAGAGAATGCATCGCAGTTGGGTACCCTGTCCTTAGGCCAATCCTGAGTCAGAGCAGGCCAGTTGGATGCTTTACAACAAATGTACAAGTGCTACAGCAACGCAAAGACTTGCTATGTGTCTATCGAATGAATGTTGGCCAGCAACTCAGTTCAACTGGCCTTGTCTCCAGGTAGTATGCCTCGGACGGTCCTGCTGGTATGGAATGGAAAAGCATCGTTCCAGGCCTGCCATGGCGAAAGGATGCGAAAGGCATCTACACAGCACCATATCACGTCGCAGATCATGGCAGTTCATTGTGGTTTCATGGCATTTACAAAACTCGTTTAAAACGGTGTATAAGAACGTAACAATCGTAACAATCTTTTAACAGAATTCATCTTGCTCCCGTACAAGTAATTGTGCATCAAGGGCCCAGGGCTCACCTCAATGCCTTGCCGAAACCACTCCCGCCATCTACGCGGCACTGATGGATCCACATACACGCCTTGCACAACATGGCGACGATGAATGACGCAAAGAAACATATAAAAACTCTAGGTGTTCAGTATTGACTAACTGTATCTACACATTATATATATATTATACACGTATAGATATGTGAGCAGTGTAAACAGGGCAGGTTTCATTCATTCTTGACTATCCAAGAGCTCACAACTGGCTGGGTCTACCATATCCCTAAGCGCTCTGCGGATTTGTCTCTCTGGAAGCGCCTGCAATGATTTCAGTGCTGCAAGAGGCGAAGCAAGACTCAACAGCATAGCGACAGGATCCGCAAAGTATCCCACCATATCCGACCATCCCACCTCCAGATTGTATCGCCAAATCACAGCGCTATCACGGTCTACCTCGTGGCTGGGAGCCTCTCCAGCCACTGCCTCACATGCCGACACTTCTTGAAAAAAATCTTAAGTTCCAGAATGATCCTCTAGGCATCACCTGAAACAAATAGTCAAACCATCAATATTGGAATAGTTGCAGGAGTTTGTTCGAAAAAATGTGAGATGTTCATGTATACATTGCGTGCTTGCCCAACTACGACTTGCAGAAAGCATTGCAACTCACTCTTTTTCAGTCTAATGAGTCTAATGCTTCAAGGGCTTTTTGACATCCCAAACGCCAAGCAATTCTTCACCAACTGCCCCGGCCATCCGTAGCAGGAAAGCCTGTCGGTATCCGACGTCTTGAAAGTCAGACGTGAAGAAGAGCAACCTTGCGCGCGAGGAGTCGAGGAGGCTTCAAGTTCTTAAAGGTGCCAAGAAACAGAGTTCATGCCAAAACCGTCATAATATCATCATAGCAACTGATCGGTTTGACTTACTTTGCACAACTGAATTGCTAAGATGAGGAGCACAAGCTTTGGCTCTTGACCGGAATACTTAAGGATGCACTTTACTACCGCTGACCGTCCCAGACCCAACCTATCATCACTAGCTCGTGGCATCATCGGGGTCTGGCAAAGGGGCGCAGCATCAGTTCCAATGAGTACACAGCGGAAACGACAGTGTGATGTGATAATGCTTCGAATGGGAGCACTTCTTGAAGTTTTCTCGCATCTTTCCGCTTTGTTTGCAGGATTTTTCAAGTCTGCAGAGAGTCCACTACCTAGAAGAATCATAAGTCGCGTGACCTTGACATGGCTTAAGAGAGCAAACTCACATGGACTAACTTAAATGATATTTAAGGCTCTCCAGCACCTTGGGCAACAGCACCAGGGAAAAGCCAACCTGGCTTTTTTATCAACCAGTACAGTCGCTCAAAAGACAGTGAACTCTTGATCTATCTTTCAAAAGACAGAGAAGTCGGACTGGTTTATAAATTAAAATTTATATTTTTTAAAAAAAAAATGTTTGATGTCTGTGGCTGGCACTTTCAACGGAGGCGAATCACCTGAGGGCATCTGAGGCCTTTTTTAGACTTAATAAGATCTATAAAAGATCTATAAGCAAGAACAAGAACCCAAAAAGAGCGCAACTCATCGCTTTTGAATTGTTTTGAATGGGGTAGTTTCGGGTAGTTGGATCATGTTCGAGAGTTCAGGTTCAACTTCTCTGGCAGACCGAGCTTCCTGCCCAGCAAGTACTCCACAGACAAATCGAGATTTGAAGGGAAGGATGTAGCCTGAAACACGTGAAATGTCAGTCAACAAAGTTGAAGACACAAAGGGAGGAATTCAGCATGTGCTTCAAGCAACCAAAGACAAAATCTGATTTCTGCACGCTTAGCTTCCCTTTCTTGCTGACAAACGAGCTTATGGGTAAATATGGTGCCAGCAAATGTCCTCTGATGATCCTTGATGCTCAATTAACAAAGGACTGGTGGCGAAAATGGAACAGGATTTCCCATTCCGACTGGCATGGCGTCATCATCGCGCCAAGCTCTTCTGGAAAAGATTGAATTAGTTACAATTAGTTCCAGGCCAGCACGCGTGCCCAAAACTGGAGGACCTTCATTGAATCAATGGAGGCCTCAAACCCCGAGAGAATGCACCGACCCCATTCAGTGCTTCTTGAACTTGCATAGACAGCCACGTAGCATCACCATGCCTGTAGCTTCATACCTCAATCATATTGTCGTGGAACCCTAGAAGTCTGCGTCCAAAGAAAAGCGGTTTGACTCTTGATCAAGTGCATTCATCACACCTGCTTTCTGATAGTCTCCAACTCTCTTCTCAAAGAAATTGGTCTTTCCTTGCAAGGAAATGAGCTCCATCCAATCGAAAGGATTGGCTGCATTGAACAATTTGGAATGACCCAGTGCACACAGCAAGCGGTCGGCAACAAATTCGATGTAGGTAGCCATGAGATCTGCGTTCATGCCGATGAGATCACATGGAAGGGCTTCACAGATGAACTTCCTTTCAGCATCAACTGCTCCCTTGATGATGTTATGAACAACTTCTTCAGGAAGCTTGTTCTGCAGGAGGCCATAGATCAAACATGCAAAGTCAGCATGAAGACCCTCATCTCTTGAGATCAACTCGTTCGAGAAGCAAAGCCCTGGCATGAGGCCCCTCTTCTTCAACCAGTAGATGGCGCAAAATGATCCACTGAAGAGCACTCCCTCCACCGCGGCAAAGGCCACGATGCGTTCTGCAAAGCTGCATTCCTGATTCATCCATTGGACTGCCCACTTCGCTTTCTCCTGAACTGCTGGCATTGTGGCAATGGCATTGAAGACATGGTCTTTCTCAGCTGGATCTTTGATGTACTGCTCAATCAGCAGAGAGTAGGTTTCGGAGTGGATGTTTTCCATGGCCATTTGAAAGCCATAGAAGGCTCGGGCCTCCGGAACCTGGATCTCAGTGCTGAAATTCGTTGCCAAGTTTTCCAAGACAATGCCGTCACTTGCCTTGGTGATTTGTTGACACAGACAGCTTATCTTTCGGGCACATGCGCAGTAAATCGCTCAATCCATCTGATCTCAAAAAATCTAGAACTTTAGACTAAAACCATCTAAAACCTATGTGTACAATCTGTAGACAATCCAAGCTGCCGCAAAGAAGGCTAAGATGTGCTTGACAAAGTGTTGCTCATTCTCTGTGAGACCCTGCCAATCCTTGGCATCAGCAGCCAAGTCAATCTCCTCAGCAGTCCAAAAGGAGGCCTCATGTTTCTTGTACATTTCGAAGATGCCGGAATACTGGATGGGGAGCAAGACCCATCGGCGGGCATTGGGCTTCAGCAGTGGGTCGTCCTTCTCCAACTCCTTGAATTTGGCACTCACGGAGCTGACAGGAACTGGCACTGCACCCAAAGCCTCCATTGCTGTGGAATCGTGGAAGAGGAGAAACAGCGGACACCGGCCGACACTCGGAGTTTGCTTTTGGGCAAAATGCCTTCAAAATAAGACGTTCAAAAAATATCAAAAAATCCTCAGGTTCGTCATCTTTCTGCTTTTCTTATCAAGGCCACTCCCGATGCCTTCTGCAGTGTTGAACCATGGAGGTCTCAACAAGCTACTAGTGCGGACTAGGTGCCACTAGTCACTACTCGTCTCACTACTCGAGGCTCTCAGCTTTGCAGCTTCGCAGCTTCGCAGAAGTCTCAGCTCCCAACATGAAGGATACGATAACCCGCTGCATCTTGCGCAGTCGAGGCGGCCTGGTCGCGGCAGCTCTGGATTCATTTTTTTCGATGGAATCATATCATGAATAATCGAATTTCATCATAGAAAAAAGCCTCAGGTCGCTCGAGCTTCTATGCACAGCCGAGCTCCCAACCACAAAAAAGCCCGCCCAAATGAGCTTCTTGGCATCAACCACAATGGGCTCAACCTTCTCCTTCCAAATCAAATGACTGCTGCTTGGGCCCTTGGGGAATCTTCGGGATGTGGCTAGGAATGGCTGGGAATTGGCCTTTCAAGACACTTGGCTCAAACTGCTAAACTGCTGGGCATTTTCCTCACCTTTGCTTCCCGATGGTCTGTACAGGCGTGGGACGAGATACTAAAGCCTGCTATGCGTTCGATGCACACCTTTACAACCCCATCCACTGGGCTGCTCCTCAAGATCGCTAGTATATGCTAATATATCGCTATCAACAAAGAATTATTCGTCAAGCTTGTTCTTGATCAATACTCAAACCACATACATCCTGTGCAGCTTCAAAAAGGGATGGTTCGAATTAGCCAACACTGACGTCTGTGGCAGCGGATCAGCCACTTTGCAGCGGATAAACCTCCTCATTTGGAGCGCAACGATACGAGACCTCTATTAAGGTGTGACCGTGACCCAACACAGGATGCTTCTGGCCAACGATGGCTCCAAATGTCTGGAGAGACGGGCGAAAACTTTACGGGCAAACACCTCGATTTGCCCGCGCTTGTCGGCGGCCATCTTCGTATGTGCTGAAAACGTGGTAAAAATGGAAGTTTTTTGCATCATGGCTAACTTCATGTTGTATATCGGCACGCACGGCATAGGGACCTGTGCGAGTCTCTTACACATCATCATCATCATCATCATCATCATCATCATCATCATCATCAAACCCTTATTGAAAATATTCAATGAATGTAGAAGTTTAACGGGGGTGGGAGAATTAAACACTTATTGAAGATCTTCAATTAATGTAGAAGTTTAACGGGGGTGGGAGAATTAAACCCTTATTGAAGATCTTCAATGAATATAAAGTTTAACGGGGTTGGGAAATTTATATTCCCTAAATACCCTTGTTGATCTTCCCAATTGAATGTAAAGTCATGTAAAGTCTAACGTTTGATATCCCCAAGTGTACAGCATAGAAGGGGTGTGGGCGAATCGGGGTGTTTGCGCGAAACTTTACAAACGGAGGCATCTCGTTGTGGAATGCCATCTGCCAATTGTTCTCTGAAATGGATCCAAATTGGAGTCCATGTGGCACAAGTGCTACTGGAAGGAGCTAGCCAATCTGCCGCATGGACAGGAATTGACGAATGATTACAGGAAAAAAAAGGCGACATTATCTTATCTTCTCAAACTTTCGAGTCTTTGTCGCATCGGGCTCGCTCTGACAATCGTCCAACCAATGACAAGCGGGCCTTGCAGTCTTGGCTGACATGTCAAGTACTTGTCAACGGCAGTTTTGCATTCTGCTTGAAACGTGTATTGATCATATTAATTTTGTACTTTGCCCGCCTTTCATGCCTTCCTACTCTCTTTAAGTAAGCTTCGGTGCATTGCCTCTCCGTCAAGAAAACCGCTGAAGATGCCCTCTGCGTCGAACACAAGCCAGCCCAGGTATTCATTGAAGCCCTTAGAAAGGCCAAGACTGGACAGTTGAGATATGTTGAGGTGTTGACCACTGAAGAGTATCTTCATGTGTCATGTATGCGCTACTGCGCTACTGTCATCGAATGAAGCTTACAGTAGCGGAATGCGCCATTCCCATCCATTCCCTCTTTGGTGTTTGGAGCTGTCTTGTTCCGGATTCCTTTGCTCGCCTGGATATCGTCAATCCTGGACAAGATCTGGTCCTTGTCTTCTGCTCGAGATGCTTCACAGGCTTGAATGTCCTTGGATGATTTGTAATATTTGTAGAGATTCGGCTGTTGGAGAAGTTTCATGAAGTTTCCAGGTCTCGCATTTGTACACAGCCAATGGTTCAACAACGACACCTCATTTTCTGAAGGTCAGGTGTCCAAGGTCTTCAGCTTGCTGTAGTTCTTATCCAGACATGCGGTGGAATGTATCAAGAGCGTCTGCCTCAAGTTTGCACGTTCAGTTCATATCCTTATAAGTATCACTTCATTCCTCATGTTCATCTCCTTGACTCTTCAGAAAAGCACAAGGTCGGTCAGCCTTCAGATTTTTGCGTGCCGCTCAGTGCTGCCACGCCTGATGTTCAAAGCACTTCCTTCCACAAGTTCAGCCTGGGACCAGCAACAGCAATTGAAATTGCTCTCTGAGACCGGTAGCAGCATGTTTTCTATCAGAGCGCGTAGTCACTGGGCTTGATTATCATTCAGTTCCGGTGGCCAGAGGCGCAACCTTTCCTGCTTTTGCTATTTGGGGTTTCTTAAAATGGGGGATCCCCAAAACCATTGGTTTCAATACAGCTGTAAAATTCATCAAAATTGTCTAATTTTTGGGATGATTCGGGGGCACCGTCACTTTAGGAGACCATTTGCAAACAGGGACTTAGAAGATCTAAGAATCTTAGAAGGTGAACTAAGACTCAAACTGAGCTAAGAATCTTAGAAGATAAGACTCAAACTGAGCTAAGAATCTTAGAAGGTGAACTAAGAATAACTTAGACTCAAACTGAGCTAAGAATCTTAGAAGGTGAACTAAGAATAACTAAGACTCAAACTGAGCTAAGAATCTTAGAAGGTAAACTAAGAATAACTTAGACTCAAACTGAGCTAAGAATCTTAGAAGGTGAACTAAGAATAACTAAGACTCAAACTGAGCTAAGAATCTTAGAAGGTGAACTAAGAATAACTAAGACTCAAACTGAGCTAAGACTTAGAAGGGGAACTAAGAATAACTAAGACTCAAACTGAGCTAAGAATCTTAGAAGGTGAACTAAGAATAACTAAGACTCAAACTGAGCTAAGAATCTTAGAAGGTGAACTAAGAATAACTAAGACTCAAATAAGAATCTTTAAGACTCAAACTGAGCTAAGAATCTTAGAAGGTGAACTAAGAATAACTAAGACTCAAACTGAGCTAAGAATCTTAGAAGGTGAACTAAGAATAACGAAGACTCAAACTGAGCTAAGAATCTTAGAAGGTGAACTAAGAATAACTAAGACTCAAACTGAGCTAAGAATCTTAGAAGGTGAACTAAGAATAACTAAGACTCAAACTGCGCTAAGAATCTTAGAAGATAAGACTCAAACTGAGCTAAGAATCTTAGAAGGTGAACTAAGAATAACTAAGACTCAAACTGAGCTAAGAATCTTAGAAGGTGAACTAAGAATAACTAAGACTCAAACTGAGCTAAGAATCTTAGAAGGTGAACTAAGAATAACTAAGACTCAAACTGAGCTAAGAATCTTAGAAGGTGAACCAAGAATAACTAAGACTCAAACTGAGCTAAGAATCTTAGAAGGTGAACTAAGAATAACTAAGACTCAAACTGAGCTAAGAATCTTAGAAGGTGAACTAAGAATAACTAAGACTCAAACTGAGCTAAGAATCTTAGAAGGTGAACTAAGAATAACTAAGACTCAAACTGAGCTAAGAATCTTAGAAGGTGAACTAAGAATAACTAAGACTCAAACTGAGCTAAGAATCTTAGAAGGTAAACTAAGAATAACTTAGACTCAAACTGAGCTAAGAATCTTAGAAGGTGAACTAAGAATAACTAAGACTCAAACTGAGCTAAGAATCTTAGAAGCTGAACCAAGAATAACTAAGACTCAAACTGAGCTAAGAATCTTAGAAGGTGAACTAAGAATAACTAAGACTCAAACTGAGCTAAGAATCTTAGAAGGTGAACCAAGAATAACTAAGACTCAAACTGAGCTAAGAATCTTAGAAGGTGAACTAAGAATGACTAAGACTCAAATTGAGCTAAGAATCTTAGAAGGTGAACTAAGAATAACTAAGACTCAAACTGAGCTAAGAATCTTAGAAGCTGAACCAAGAATAACTAAGACTCAAACTGAGCTAAGAATCTTAGAAGGTGAACTAAGAATAACTAAGACTCAAACTGAGCTAAGAATCTTAGAAGCTGAACCAAGAATAACTAAGACTCAAACTGAGCTAAGAATCTTAGAAGGTGAACTAAGAATAACTAAGACTCAAACTGAGCTAAGAATCTTAGAACATAAGACTCAAACTGAGCTCAACGCCACACACCACGCTCTTTTGAAAACGTCCAAGTCGTCATCTGCCACCGTGACATGGACGAAGTCTGGCACGTTCTCAGCCAAAAACCTCGAGAAATCTAGGGAGAACACAGATCCCACGGAGATTTCCATCATTTTCATCATTTCCATCATTTCCATCTCTCATATAAATAAAACAATTACGACAATGTCTGATCTGTTGAATCCCACCTCATTAAATCATCGAACTTGTTGAGCTCAGTCAAGGCAGCTTCGTTGTTGAAGTATTTCTTCCTTTTACAGCCGCATAATGGGAAGATCTCCTTGGGCGGACTCGCGGACCGTTGGGAGGACACGGTAACGCCGGTCGCTGAACGGCAGCACGGCAGCTGATTGCAGCTGAGCGGCTCCGGTCACGGAATTGCGACGTTTCGCATCCCACTGGGTGTAGGCATAGGCTGTGTCTGGGCATGGACCAAAGCCACCACAAATACTGGCATGCTGATTCACTGAGAATACCTCAGAGACTCGAGTCTGACTCGAGCCATCGAACAGCCGCACCAAAATGATCAGGAAGCTGGAAGAAACATAGTGATGATAGGTTTTCTGATCTTTCTGTCGAGAGTCGCAGACCCAATAGGTCGCATCCATGACTTGCTCAGTGTTCTGAAGCGAGTCTCGAAACTCTGCAAAATCTTCCAACGTTTGTAAAGCATCCACGACATCAGCGAAATATGCCTTGCAGATTTAAAAGAATCCCAAACAGAGGTGTATCAAAATACATCAAAATACACTGCATCACTGATCATTGCCATGCAACGAACCTGTCCCGTGGCATCAGCGAGAATGGCAGCTACCTGAGGCTGCCATTTTCTTCGACACAGCTCGAAACTCCAACATCTCCGCCAAGGCTCTGACCAAGTGTGAAAAACGATTCCCCCAGTTGTGAGTCACCTCAGTCATCATGACTTGAGTCTCAATATGTCTCAATTCCCAGTGTGAAAAACGCCTGGAAAATGTTGATCTATCTTTATCTCATATGACTCATATGACTCATATGACCTTGAGAAATTTCGATGCGTTTCAGCAATTTGGCCTCGTTTCTCTACAAAATCCTGGCCGCAGCTCAGTGGCCATGCGTCCTGCCAGGCATGGACGCCTCGGTTGAAACGCAGCAAAAACGCTGCAAAAACCATAGAAAACCCATGAAGCGTGAAAATCCATGAAAATCCCCTCCTGTTAAAGACACGGATTTCTTGCACTTCACTCAGTGGCGTCGCAGCATGTGAAGCGAGGTGCTGTTGGTTCCAAATTGAAGCCAAGGCAAAACCATCCTGGGCTGTGATTCGGTGATTCTAATGCTGCATATTGCAGTGTATATTGCTGCAGAAATGGCTCTGTATATTGCCACATAGTGACCCACATAGTGCTGCATGATTCGCATGATGCTTCATCTTCTTTGGACCCCAGCTCTTGCAGAGTGGCAAACGCACTGCAAAACAGTGGAAAGGATCACACCCATCATTGCACTTTTTAATAGGGAGGAAGGAGTGTCCAAGATTGCACAAGGTTACAAACATGAAATAGAAGGTGCTAGAATCTGAGTCAACTTGCCTGTCTCAAACTGCTTCAAATGCCTGACTTCTACGCTTCAACACCCCAGCCGCTTCGCACCTCGTCCACACGGGACATCGGGATCACAGCTTCTCTTGCCACATCAGAGGTCTGGGAGTAGCGGGGATCAAAACTCGGCATCACCTTGGAGTCACTGGAGTCAATGGAGCCGGAGCCATTGTGCCATGCTCCGTGCAGTTTCCATATTCCAATCAACTTTCAATCCTTTCAAGCCTCCTGTGGAATGTCATATGGCAGTGTGTCAAAACCTTGTACCCCTGGTGAACATTAAAATAGCTGGTAAATGGATGTTCATCCCACTAAAAATGGTATTAATAGGTATTGATCCATACCCATATCATGTCCACATTCCACTTGGTGTCCAAAAAAAAGCTGCGGCAGTCAAGTGGCCTGCCCCTCAAGCAGCTGCTGATAGAAGTCCATCAAGTCACCGACACGAACTCCTCGCAGCTCTTTGGGCCGAAGATCGTCGAATTGCTGTTGGTTTTGTACGAAACGGCAAGCATCCGCAGGAAAAACATGGAAGAAAAAATGAACAATGTATAGTCAATAGAAATGGCAAAATACTGCCAGATGGATCCAGATTGCGATCTTGTTATCCCATTGCCACTGAGGCCCAATCCACGGTGAGCTAATTCCTCCACCTTGCAGTGATGGCGACTGTGGCCATGACACAGATCACGCGGAAGATCCGCAACAAACACATGTCATTTTGTACCCTATGCAATGAGATGTTTCACAAGTGCAAGATGAAACAACCCCAAGCGCTTCCATAAACAAAACCAGTACTGGGTTCTCTTGCCATGATACAACCAACATCAACCAACCCTCTGGGGATCACACAATATGCCCAAACCATACTCAAGGTGTATTACAGTATCCAGTGTGTCGATGAGTGACCCTTGGCAGCCTTGGCCGTCCACACGGCATCATCCGGAGAGTCGCGATCACCACGATGGGTTGGAACTGGCGGTTTCACTGCATGGCCACCATTCCTAGTTCGCGAAAAAAGGAGGCATCGTCTCGGAACGAACAACATACAGTTGGGCAACAGGAGATACAAAGATACAGATAGGTGTGTCTGAAAATAGTGTACCCCTAAACCCAATGGTTCATGATCATTATCCCTATTAAATGGCTATAATTGGGAATATACCCAACATTTTCAGACAAACCCAGATAGATACAGTTGAGCGTTATTCTGCAAGGAGATTGGCCAAGGAACCTCTGCAGCAATCCGCTGAGCATCAACAGGCCCCAGGCATCAGCGATGCCCGCCAGGCGCTTCAAGCAATGAAGCAGGACGAAGTAGGCCTCTGATGAGAGCAGAGATCCCTGGATGGCCTGTAAGGTAATGAGGTGAAGGGTTATTTGACTCAGAGCAACCTTTTTGAGGCAGGTTGATGCCGTAAACAAACTAATTGCTTTGTGGGAGATTCGTTCTTGAACGCTTGAGACTAGCCCTATTATCCATTGAAGTCAGTTGAAGTCACCTTAAAGAGCAGAAAACTCTTCGTAGCCTCTGCCATCCGAGCCTCGCTGTACTTTTCCACTCCAAAGAGCCCAACAACTCCTGCGGAAAAATGACACTGCCAAGCAATTCTTCTTTGAGGGACTTAGCAATTCGCCTGACATGTACAAACTGTAGGACTCGAGGCAGGCTGCTGCCAAAACGGATGGGCCATTTAGTGATCCAACTCCCAAATCGCATTTCATTTGCTTGTTTCTCTAAGTTTTGGACCTGTAAGCGCCCAGTGAGCTCCAGTGATAATTGAGAGGATGAGGCCTCATTGAGTCACAGCAAATGAGAAACGCCAAGACCCTCAGTGCGATTGGTTCAAATTCTGGATGAGTATTTCACTTGGAAAGCTTTGAATTCTCGGTGGCCCTGTGAAATTTCCGCCGCCTAAGTCATCCACCTGCTTGGAGTTCGGTACGCAGGACCCGCAATGCCCACTTGACCTCCCACATGCCACCAGTTCGACAGCACTGACAGCACAGCTCGGTCACGCTACATCGGTTTCTTGCCAATGATATCATTCAACTCTTTGACCATCTTTGGCATGCAACTAACATCAACTAACAGTAACAATATGTATAATATACTGAATATACTGTATAATATGAACCAATCCCATCTGCAGTCAACTTCATTTCTTGCCGGTCCTGCACCACTACGGCGCCAGGCAACTCACTGTCTTCCTTCAAGACTCGGCGATTTGCCTGCGAAGTCCCCAAAAAATGAAACATAAAGCAGCAGAAAGCAGCCCTTTTATATCCAAAATTTATCATCTATCCATTTTGGCTGTCTAGTTGCAGTTTTCTATTGACAAAAATTGCCAACAAAGATCTATTTGTCATCTTTTCCTACCAACGCCACCTTGTTCTCCGTAAAAATAGCTTAAAAAAAGACGTTCGCAAATCACAAGCCGACATTTTCCAAGAAGGCTCCGACCTCAAAGGCTTGGGCATGGAGCCATGCAAAGTAGATCCAAATAGGCAGCATGATTGCCTTGGAACTTCCAAACCACATCGGTTGCATCCGTTTGAAAAAAACCTGCTGAGATCTGCACGGCAGAAATGCCACTCACCGTGGTCCATTCGTCACCAGTACCAAGATAGATATGGATGAAACGCGCCAGCTGTGTGCACAATGCACCAGCAGCAATGATACCCTCAGCGCTATCACAATGATTGGACAAAAACAGACCAAAACTCCGTAAAACAATGTAAAAAACGACATGACGACGTGAATTGTTTTTGGGACCATCCTTGGTTTGCACCAAGAGGCCACCAGCCACCAGGCGGTGTGGCCACATACTGCCAGTTGCCAGCCACTTGGATCCATCCTAAGCACAGGATAGAAATAGAAACATTAGAAACCAGAGACAACAAGAGTAGTCACGGAGTCACTGAGTCTCCTCTGCCTTGTGGATCCTTGTGGATCCTTGTGGATCCTTGTGGATCCTTGTGGACTTGTCTTAGCTTGGAGCAAAATTGCAAAACCCTATGGGATGTCCAATGAAATCCGCTGGATCGACAGACTCGGAGCCAAGGTGCTTTTGCGTGCGCCGAAGGACCAAAACGGCAATCCAGACAAACAGCAACGCATTCAGGAACTTTCCAAGTGCAGCCAAGTACTTGTTGATGACATTCTAAGTTGTTGCATCAAAATCATTGAAGAGGTTCATTGATAGAGCAATCATCTATGGTCATGGTCTGTTTGGCAGGAAAGGGTCTTGACAACTGGACAAATCAAGTCGGAAGCCGCAAACTCAAAACAGGTGGTGTGACATCTTTGCTCGTGGCCAAGCATCAACCTGTTCGTGCGCATCGACGGTTTTCTTGCACCAATCTGTGTAGTCCTCCAATGCCCAAATCACCCAGCAGAACCAGTTGGTCGCAATACAGTAGACCTTGGACATTCTTTCCCGTACTGGATTATTCCTGCAAAAGGCAAAAAGAATCAAAAAGAAGTATGATGCGAAGCAGTTGCATCAGTTGCTGTTCTGGTGTTGTATGGTCTTGTATGGTCTTGGGAATGTCTTGGGAGTCTTTCGTCAAGTGAAGCTGATCATAGCTGATCCAGGATCCAAGTGGCACTGTTCCGTGCATAGGATGAAGGAGTTTTAAAGCGCAAGACCGCCAAAACCAGCGCGATGGATGTCAGCAGCAATGTATGTCAGCAGCAATGTCACAAAGTCCCCTGACCCCTCTTGGACAGTGACCACAGTGACCACAGTGACCACAGTGACCACAGTGACCACAGTGACCACAGTATCTGGATCTCCAAAGTCTGCAGCTTTCCACCAAGGCATTTGGTTGATGCCATTTTTTTTAAGTGCTAAACTGCTGTGCTTTCAGTGAGGCAGTCGGATTGGGATGGAGGTAGATTGCACGATCAAAGAGATGTCCCAGAGCCTGCATACTCCCAGCTCGGTCCGCATGCATATTCCTGGGCCACGAAGGAGACGAAACGAGACTTGGGAGAAGCAAAAGCCACGGAGAACGATGCCTCGAAAGCCTCGCCCATGAGCCAGCTTCGCCAGTGAGCAGCACACGGGCTTGGCAAGAGAGTCATGTGCAGAGGGTAGGTCATCACCTGAGAAAAAAACAAAATAACAATAAATAACATTGCTCACGCAGTGGGAAAGGACCGAAACATTCTGCTTTGAATATCTTGGAGGCATTTTACATCATGCACCACTTGGAAACAAGATGAAATCAGAAACAGCGATGCGCGTTTTGGGTGATTGTGTATTCCCAAAGTATCTGAGGTGTTACAATGTGTTACAATGTGTTACAATGTTGTCCAATGTTGTCCAACGTTGTCAACGGTTCATTTGTACACGGCGTTGCGCCATAGAGTGAACCGATGCTTAAGTCTTAAGTGGCCAAAGGTGACCTGGCAACGCCGAGTCACTATGAGCGTCACTCCCACGACCAAAGCAGCTGCAGCGTATCCTAAGTTAGCTTGATATGAAACTCTCCGAGGCATGCCGTTCATGAAATCACTGGATACTCTTTGAGGTCAATTTTTCAATACCATATGGACATATATGGACCATATGCCAAATATCTTGGGATATCTTTGTGACGTAGATTTAACTGCACTAGTTTCCACCTCGAGATCTTATCACTGAATTGTCTTTTCGGGCAGCCATGGGTGCCATGGAAACCATGGGCTTCTTGCACTGGTGAGTTCCAGGCAGGTCATCCAAGACCATGTCTTGGTTCAGATCGTCAACAACTCTTGGGTTGGGTGTGCATCAGCACATTAGCACGATTGAAGAGAAAAAGCAGAGGGAGTGTTCTGCAGGCGCTAGCCACATTCAACCTGTTTGTATTCACTATACACTTCACAGCAAGCATCTAAAGCATCGCTCTGGTGCTGTAGCTGGTGCCTGCCCAAGTTTGATGCTTCAAACGGATCATTTGAATCAATTGCAATGAATTTGAAGTCATTTGAAGTAAATCCCGACACCAGTTTCAACAAATCAATCTATCGCCACCTTAGGAACCAAGGCCACTGCAATGAGGAGCCCTGTCAGGGTGCCTCGACCATGACACAGTTGCGTATGTGACAGACATCAACACAAACATCCATACACCATTCTTCTAGAACATTTGGTTTTTTTCAGTGCTGAGGAACATACCTTCTGCTGCTGGGATGAGTGGCTTGCCCTCGGATGTTGCCACTGGTCCTGTGCCAAAAAAATTGGAAGAGTTCAATGTGTTGGCCACCTCGGTTGCCTCGGCTCTAGGGGATCTGGACAGTCGGACAGGTTCTGTTGAAGGTGGATGCCCATGTCCTAAAAAGGTCCCCAGAACCACCATCAAGACTAGGATGGTCAGGATCGCTGTGCTCCTCAGGCTTCTGTCCGAATCTGGTGATTTTGTGCAAGCATAAATTTTGTGCAAATAGACTTCAGCAATGGCGATCAATAGCGTACGTGCTATTTGCTGTTCCGGCTTCCTTCAAATCGCTTTTTCTTAGCAATAGTTTATTTTCTTCCGTCGCTAAGAGACTGCAGTCTGTCCCATCTACAGGTGTATCGCCCCTTCACAACAAGCAAAGAGCCTATCACGCTGCCCGTCCGAAGATTTCAACTTCTCTGGATGAGCACATCATGACATCCATGACATCCATGACATCCATGACATCCATGACATCCATGACATCCATGACATCCATGACATCCATGACATCTCACAGCTGCCCGGTCTGCTTAGCTTATATCATCTTATGTGTTCATAGTATCAATTATCATAACTTCATAACAAAATACACTGAGGTGCAAACTGCAGGACACGAGTTGTTTCCATGGCCGGCAAGTTGAGATCCATCAAGCTGTTGATGGGCATTCAGGTTTGAATATGTCTTAATGGATGTTTTCTGATTCTACTGGTCCAAATCAGTGGGTGCCTTTTGATTCCAGGGTCGATGCGGTTGCTTCGTTCCAGAGATTGTTTGGTTCAGGTCCATATGGGGACCTGCTTCATTCTTCAAAGTGCTCTTTTTTGATCATCTCAGGGAACACATGGGAAGAATCTACAGTACTTGCGGCTGCGCAGACTTGAACAACGGAGAGCATTTCATTTCAATGGATTTCAATGGATTTCATGTAGCACAGAGCACACAGATTGCCCGGTGCAAACCGCCTTTGTGGCGTTGGTTGTGTTGGTCCCGTTGGTTGTGTTGGTCCCGTTGGTGACGTTGGTGATGTTGGCTGCGGCTTCAGCTTCATCCTCCTGGCCGTTGGACAACCTTGGACAACCTTGGAGAACGTTGGAGAACGTTGGACATCCAACTCCTTGGACAACGCCATGGCCCCGTCGCGGTCCTCGGAGCACCTCACGCGCTCAAGGCTGCCAAGCCATCCATCGCCCAAGCCTTCTGCAAGAGCCTCGGGCAACTTAGTGACTTGGTGAACGAGAACGTTACTAAAACGACGTGTGACGATGGATTCAGCAAAGGTCATCACCTCATTGAAGATGGATTCAGATGGATCTTGTTTTCCTTTCAAAGAGCTCTGAGAAAATCATTGCTAAGCCCGCCTGCAGCGACTGAATATCATCTGTGCGGATGTCGAATCCGGGTTTGTAGATATCGACACCTCGCCAGAAAGCCATCCAAAAATATTTGGCAACAGCTAAACGCACAAAGATCCTTCTTCGAACAATAAAGTATATAAAGTGATATAAAGTGAGTGTTTACTAGTTTGCAACGATTTTAGAGTGTTGGCCAGAAAAAATCAGTTAAACAAAACAGTCGCATACTGTCATGGTAGACCTGGTAGACAAAGAGGGGGTGCAAGAGAAGTGCAACAGCGATGACGACAACCACAACCCGTCGGCCAGTAGTCCTTGGCCATCCTCTGATAGCTGAAGAAACAAGAGAGTATTCTCCTCGAGGCAAAGGGATGCACTCATCAAACTTGTCGAATCAGATTTCGGAGACATGAAAAGACCATAGACATTGACAGAGACATCTATAGACCATACGTAGGGCCGTAGGGCTACTTCAATGCTACTTCAGTGTTTAAGGTCAGCACAGTATCTTCCAGAGGCATCGCTCGGGTTTGGTCAAAGCCATCCCTTGGGGTAGCAGCGTAGCATTGAGATCCGAGACAAAGCAGATTGAAAACAACCAAGCCACTAGAGTCACTACTGTAGATGGATCTGGGGTGGATTCATGGCATATCCGATATCCTCAGCCTCGAAATGCTTGTATTGGCTGCCTCTTAGAGGTCTTGCCTCGAAAGTCGCACTGATTTCGGGCCCAGACTCGTCGCTGTAGGAACCATCAAGGCCTAAGTGTGTCGACGCGATCGAGTCGGTCGAGTCGGTCCAGTCGAACGAGTCGACCTCGCACCCTGTCGCCCTGTCGCCCTGTCGCCCCGTGGCCCGGTGAGGGCTTCACTCATGGCTGTGACCAGGATGGGAACCTGATCGGATTGCTGTGCTCCGCATGTGCTCAGCACGTGCTCAGCACTCACCATGTGTCGCTTTGTGCTCGTACAAGCTCCAGTGACTCCAGTGACTGTGATAGCACAGTGCGGCTCTGGCGCCTTCCGCTGATGCTGTAGGACCGAGATGTCTAGCTGCAAAAACATGGGATCGGAGGCCGAGACTGAGAGCCTGCGACAGGCGCCGGGAAAGGCGCTGACACATTGACTGATGCACTTCATGCCATTCCATGCACTCGCAAATGGCAAACGACTCGCCAAACATCTTCAAAACCTCAACAGTCCAGCTAAAGGTTAAAGCTGCAGAAGGACAAGCTGTATGAAATTGGGGATTGACCAGCTCCTCAGATTGTTTTTCTTTCCTTCTTTCGTTCCTTCAGACACGCCTCATAAAGTCCGGTGCACCCTTCATCTCTCCACAAGGTTCTAAATCGTCCTGGCTACATGTGCAATATTTGCGGCCCTGCCTGTCATTTCTGGCAATCGCAATACATAGCAAAGAAACATCAGGAAACATCAGGAAACCAGGTCTCCTCGTAACCATCGTCTGGAAAGCTCTCCCACTCCTGGTCGTCGCCCTTGTCCTTCTTGGACCGACCTTGAACTTTTGTCTGGAAATTCCTTCCAAAGCAGAATAACATTCAGATCCGAAACTGTACATAGGTACTTGTATGCTCAGTTCTAACTGAGAAGACATCTCCTGAACAATACCAGCCATCCCATGAGTCCTTAATGAGTCCTTAAGCATGTCTCAACTGAGTGTGAAATGCGGAGAATCTGAGCGGCTTAGTGCCCAGGGCTCCATACTAGGACCAGGAGGCCTAAGAAATCTTCAGATCCAGCTTCCGCAGAGAACTAGTCACCGAGTCAAAAGTTGAAAACCCTCTAAGATCTCTAAGGCCACCAGCTGGCTGTGAGATCTGTGAGATCTATCCTGCCAAGCCTGCCAAGTGTGTGTTTGTCACAGCTGTCCCATCAAAACCTTGGGCAGTGTCAAGCTATCAAGCTATCACACGCCTCCGAAAGTCTTTGTCGAGGTCGATGCGTTGCATGATCTCAGAAGGCACCCATACACTTCACATCCGGGATATGCCATGCTGCTTATTTACATCTAACTAGACGACGGGTGGCCCGAGAGCGTAGAGGAGCAGAGTCTTCTGTTGTTAGTATGGAGACACTATATTACAAGATAATATGATAAAGATGTATTATAGGCAGACGAGAAGAGTAGTATCAAGACAATATATGACTAGTACAAGACAATAGTTTGCATCGTATTTTTGTAAAGTTTTTCATACACAGAACTTTTTACAGACAGACGCTTTTGCACACAGAGACTTTTACACACAGACGCTTTTACACACAGACGATTTTGCATACAGAGACTTTTACACCCAAACACTTTTACACACAGAGACTTTTACATACACAGACGCTTTTACACACAGAAGCTTTTACACACAGACGCTTTTACACACAGACGCTTTTACACACAGACGCTTTTACACACAGACGCTTTTTACACACAGGCACTTTTACACACAGACGCTTTTACACACAGAGACTTTTACACACAGACGCTTTTACACACAAGCGCTTTTACACACAGACGCCTTTACACACAGACGCTTTTACACACAGACGCTTTGACACACAGACCCGTTTACACACAGAGGCTTTTACACACAGAAGCTTTTACACACAGACGCTTTTACACACAGACGCTTTTACACACAGACGCTTTTACACACAGACGCTTTTACACACAGAGGCTTTTACACACACAAGCTTTTGCACACAGACGCTTTTGCACACAGACGCTTTTACACACAAACACTTTTACACACAAACACTTTTACACACAAACACTTTTACACACAGACGCTTTTACACACAGACGCTTTTACACACAGATGCTTTTACGCACAGACGCTTTGACACACAGATGCTTTTACACACAGACGCTTTTACACACAGACGCTTTTACACACAGACACACAGGCTTTTGCTTTTACACACAGAGGCTTTTACACACAGACGCTTTTACACACAGACGCTTTTACACACAGACGACACACAGACGCTTTTACACACACACACGCTTTTACACACAGACGCTTTTACACACAGACGCTTTTACACACAGACGCTTTTACACACAGACGCTTTTACACACACGAGATGCTTTTACACACAGACGCTTTGACACACAAACTTTTACACACGCTTTTACACACAGACGCACACACTGACGCTTTTACACACAGACGCTTTTACACACACACAGACGCTTTTACACACAGACGCTTTTACACACAAACGCTTTTACACACAGACGCTTTTACACACAGACGCTTTTACACACAGATGCTTTTACACACAGACGCTTTTACACACAGACGCTTTTACACACAGTTGCTCTTGCACACAGACGCTTTTACACACAGACGCTTTTACACACAGAGGCTTTTACACACAGACGCTTTGACACACAAACACTTTTACACACAGAGACTTTTACACACAGACGCTTTTACACACTGACGCTTTTACACACAGACGCTTTTACACACAGATGTTTTTAGACACAGACGCTTTTCCACACAGACGCTTTTACACACAAACGCTTTTACAGACAGATGCTTTTACACACAGACGCTTTTACACACAGACGCTTTTACACACAGACGCTTTTACACAGACGCTTTTACACACAGAGACTTTTACACACAGTTGCTTTTACACACAGACACACACAGACGCTTTTACACACAGAGGCTTTTACACACAGAAGCTTTTACACACAGACGCTTTTACACACACACGCTTTTGCACACAAACGCTTTTGCACACAAACGCTTTTGCACACACAGTCTTTTACACACAGACGCTTTTACACACAGACAAGTCCGGCACAGGAAAAATCGCAATTTTACCTCAGTTTTTGCCGATCGACCCTCATTTCGTGCGAAAGGGTTGCTCCAGCACAAGTAAAATCGCAATTTTTCCTCAGTTTTTGCCGATCGACCTTCATTTCGTGCGAAAGGGTTGCTCCGGGGCAAGTAAAATCGCAATTTTTCCTCAGTTTTTGACGATCGACCCTCATTTCGTGCGAAAGGGTTGCTCCAGGACAAGTAAAATCGCAATTTTTCCTCAGTTTTTGACGATCGACCCTCATTTCGTGCGAAAGGGTTGCTTTAGCACAAGTAAAATCGCAATTTTTCGTCAGTTTTTGACGATCGACCCTCATTTCGTGCGAAAGGGTTGCTCCGGGGCAAGTAAAATCGCAATTTTTCCTCAGTTTTTGACGATCGACCCTCATTTCGTGCGAAAGGGTTGACGTTTCGTGACTCGCCGCCGGCACCACCCCCGGCCTTAAGAGAGAAAGATAAAGAAGGCGAGAGAGAGAAAAGGGAGAGAGAAAGGAGAGAAGATGTGAAGATGAGCAGATGTGAGAGAAGATGTGAGAGAAGATGTGAGAGAAGATGTGAAGATGAGCAGATGTGAGAGAAGATGTGAGAGAAGATGTGAAGATGAGCAGATGTGAGAGAAGATGTGAGAGCAGATGTGAGAGAAGATGTGAGAGAAGATGTGAGAGAATATGTAAGAGAAGATGTGAGAGAAGATGTGAAGATGAGCAGATGTGAGAGAAGATGTGAGAGAGATGTGAGAGAAGATGTGAAGATGAGCAGATGTGAAGATGAGAAGATGTGAGAGAAGGTGTGAAGATGAGCAGATGTGAAGATGAGCAGATGTGAAGATGAGCAGATGTGAGAGAAGATGTGAAGATGAGCAGATGTGAGAGAAGATGTGAGAGAAGATGTGAAGATGAGCAGATGTGAGAGAAGATGCGAAGATGAGCAGATGTGAAGATGAGCAGATGTGAGAGAAGATGTGAGAGAAGATGTGAAGATGAGCAGATGTGAGAGAAGATGTGAAGATGAGAAGATGTTTTACAGACCCCCACTATTGGAAGAACCCTGCGCTCAGACGCTCTCGGGAAAAAGACATCTGGTGACTTAGATTCTCAGATGATATACATAAATATACATACATTACATACATACATACATACATACATACATAAATACATACATACATACATACATATATATATATATAGGCATCAATGTAGGCATATGTAAATCATAATTCTTGACGTGCTTCTGTCCCCCGTAGCATCTCCTTGCCTCTGTTCCTTGAGACCACCAAATGGTGAGGCAAAATCTCGGCTCTGAACGTTGCAAACAGTTTAGCGCTGGCCGATCATCAAGATCCACCTGGCGGATTGACTCTTTTTGCTCTCTGCAACCACCAAGCCCAACCCCTAATACACAGCCAGTTGCACAAGCTGGGCATGTGCCACCAGCAGACATAGAAGGCCTGCGAGCTGATGGCTGGCAATCGGACAATGGTAAGGCACTGTTTCTTAGCCATTTTGGGCCTAACCGGCCTAACGGCCTAGCAGCAAAACATTTGTGTGACAGGCCATGTTTGGGTAGATACACTGCCTGAGGATGGCAAACTCACACTGCTACACTTTCCTACTCCATATAGAAGTGCACGCAGCAATTGGGAGATTAAATATCATCCAGCCTCCAACGTGAAGTACCGAGGCCATGCTCTGAAACGATTCGGTGTAATGATTCTTGATGCTTGAAAAAGTGTTCAAAGGTGAAACCCTTTATTCCGTGGTTTGTGGTTCATGGAATGCAACGTACGGCGTACGGAAAATGCCACAAGCTAGGGGTTGAGCCGTGGCTGAGCGATTGGAAGGAAAGACAAAGTGAAAGTCAGAAAAGTGGCTGCAATCATCAGGAGGAAAGTTTCAGAAAATGAAAAAGGTTCTGCAATTGAATTATATAATGTTATTCTTTGCCATCCAAATACAGTACATGTTGGGTCACTAAGTGGTTGAAAAAGTGGGACCTCTTGGATTCTTCCATCACTTCACTCAGTGCCATGCCCCTGCTGCACCAGCAAGGCACAGCGGCGACATCTGAACGGAGGTGTTAGTTCCAACAGCGATCGGAGCAATGGTGACATGAAGACAACGTGTTTTGATACCAGTGTATGCCATCATTAATGGCATAACTATGAAATGGATATTAATATACATAATATTGATAGACAATATATATATATATAATTAATTATTGTAGATACAAAAGTTTGATTAACTACTATAATCTACTATTTATCCAGCTTAATCCCATCCACAAATACCTATGATATCAATTAGTTTGCTTAGACTGTTTCGTTTGTCCATTCAATGGCGCCTGGGAAGCTTTGTGCATCCGAAGCGGTCACTAGGGCGCACTACTTGAAGGTCCTCAACCTGGAGTGCCCCCATCCCATGCATCCAGAAAAGTGACATGTGAGTCCAATGTGGCTTGGGATGCCTGGGATGCTTGATTTTCCCTGACTTTCCGTGATTTCATTCCCATTTGCTTTAGTATAGTCCTATTCTTCCATTTTCCTCACTGAGTCCATCTCACACCTCAGTCCATCTCACATCTGCCACCGCTCTGGAAGAAAATGAAGCTGGCTAGCTCAGCACTGGCGCTGTGAAAAGAAGCAAACAACACTGAGCAAGCAGCAGACACGGGCTCTGACCAAACAGCATAAAGTCCTCCAACTTTCCTCCCAAAGTCTCAACAAGGTGGACTCGGGAACTGAAAACCCTGGGAGAAATTTAAAACAGAAAACAATCCTCAGGATGCTGGATGCACTTGGATGCTGGTACACAGGTGCAACATGTTGCATCATCAGAAAGCTCTCGTAATCTACACTGATGTGTGTGTGTGGGTGTCATACACAGAAAGCTCCTGTTGGCGCCGCTCTTCGATTCAAAGGTCAGAACTGCGGTCTCGGGTGCCTGATGTGCCCAAAACAGTTCAGAACTCAGGGAGGACAAAGCTGGGACCAGCCAACAGATTAATTAAAAGAATTTAAAAAACAGAAAGTTATATAAGTTATATAAAATATATATGTTATATAAGTTTACTTGTTGCTTGTCTTTACTATTCCATTCCCTGCCTTTGCGCGGCCCTCTGCAACGGCAACGCAGGAGAAGAGGGCCTGACAAGTGGAAGCACGGTCTCTCGGAGACCTGCTAGGTGCAAAAGCTCAATAATTCGAGATTCTCACATGGACCTATACATATAACTCTATATATATACTATCAGTACTATCGGCACCATCGGCACTATCAGTACTATCAGTGCTATCAGTACCTGGGCTTTCAGGCGAACCCAGCCAGCAGCAAGGTGAAGCCCCAGCGCGGCATGAGACCTGAAGAACACCAAGGCATCGTTTTGTCAAAACCGATGGATCTGGCTGAGGTAGAAAAGGATTCACCGTTTTTCAAACGGAAAATCTAGAAATCCTCAGAGTTTTCAACAAACATGTGGGAATTTCCTGGAATTTCGGGTTCCTGTTGATTTCAGATCTGCTCAGTTTCGAGTTTCCACAAACTATCCTTGGCACTCACAAAGGAGGCAGGGACCCTCTTCACAAGGGACAAGCAGGAAGCCTTTGCGCCCTGTTTGTGTGTGTGTGTCTGTCTACAAAACTTTGAGCAGTGAATGGCTGCAACTGATCAGTGCATTCGCACAGTGGGTACCACGTCAAGTCAACTGTTTAGAGCCTGTGGCATGCAATGCAAAATTCATCGCAGTGATGGTAGTGCATAGTGTCCAACAAAGCTGCAGCTGCCAGTTTAGAAGCAATTCATTGCGCTCTTCATCGCGATCTCAAATGACACCAGATGGAACCTGAACAGATCGGAACAGATCGGAACAGTGAAAAGATGTGAAAAGATGTGAAAAGCAGCAGACTCTGTGCTCGGTGAACCCAACTGCAACCACTGTCACGGGGCCCCACGGCCCCACGGGGCCCATGGTCTGCCGCCCGCACCTCAGCTTCAATGTCCTGGTTCCGCGACTGCAGCAAACGAACCTCGAGCTCCTGGACACGGTCGAGTCGAGGTGTGTCCAGGATTGTCGAGGCATGGAATCATTTTGAGATGGATAGAGATGGATAGAGATGGATAGAGATGGTGCAATGATGTGCAATGATGTGCAATGTTCGTACATTTGAATCTGAATGGAGGTCCAGTCTTAACGAACGGTGGCTGTGATGAGATTGATTTCAAGTCCTCTTCCATGCCAGACACCATCTCTTGCAGGATGGTCTACAAGGCAAATTGCCAATGCACTCTACAAGGCAAATTGCCAATGCACTGGAAGATACGGGAAGGCACTAGGACCTCCAAAGCGAAAACAAACAGCTGAATCCTCACCTATCCCTCAAAAGGCCTCAAATAAAGTGACTTACAATTGCCCATTGTCATGTCGGCCTCAAAGTTGTAGGTATCCCCCACCGGGCGCCAGAGGTCATACAGCACTACAAACGTAAGAGTTATCGCCTGAAACAGCAATAGTGAATAGATGTGAGCAGGGTTCACTCGTGAGAAAAGGAATTCTTGTTCCAAGAAGAAACCGTGCAGAAAGATCAATGAGATGATGCAAAAACACTCAAGGTTAGAAGTCCTGACATGCAGAAAAGCTATGGAAAACTTGTAAGCAAACAACTCAGATCTCAGGCTGCGGCGGTCGCCATCAGACCAAAGAGTATTGCCTGTGAAGAAAAACCGAATCGAACAGCATGTTTTCGCAATTTATGGCAATTTGTAGCAATTTACGGCAATTCATTGCAATTTATGACATATTACATATATATATATATATACATATGATGTATATTACATTTACATACTGTATACATTTGCACATACACATACTACAGACGTATACACAAACACACACACACATGCATGTATATACTGTATACATTTGCACATACACATACTACATACGTATACACACACACATGCATGTATATAATATTATATATATACACGCTACTTACATATATAAATGTATATATATATATGACGTGCATATGCATATAGGGACCATCACCATCTCCGGGGGGTAGGGGGGGACCACCAAACACTGGGTGAACAGAGAATTTGGGCTCTTAAATCTGATGAACACTCCTGAGCACTGATCAGCACCTTTTCACTCAGTCAGCTCGAAGGTAGCTGAAAGCACTAAAATGGCTAAAATGGCTGCAGCACATATACAAACATATATGCTACATGTGACATAGTCTACACTGTACACATATCTGATCACGCCTCCCGAGCCTGTTTAAAAACGGCGCTCCCGTCCAATTATTTGAACTAGGCGAGTTTTGATATGTACAGCTACTCATAGCCACGCTCAAGCCATCTATGCTCTCAGTGTCAGGTGATGCTCACCTTCCAGAAAGTGAAAATTCATATTTCGCAAGGCTTTATTCATTTTCTCTTCTATGACAGGTTTCGTCAAGACGTCGGCAAGCATATCGCCAGTGTCGACCTTCTTCAGCCGAAAATAGCGCTTGGCAACGCGGTCTTGTACCCAATGGTATTGAGTATCCACGTGCTTGGCCTTGCCTAGTCCTCTGCGAGAACCCATTGCTATTCCTGCACTTGCGTCCATGAAAACTTCACTCTCGGGTTGCAAACCCCAGTCTTTGGCGGTTGAAACTTCTCCCAGCAAATTGCTGGCACCGCTCACAAGAGCGTAATACTCACTCTCTCCAGACGAAAGACTAACAACTCCCTGTCCTTTAGAATAAGTCTTGATACAACAACCACCGGCCATCAGGACGCCTCCTGACACGCTCTTCCTCGTCTTCACGCAACCAGCGTGGTCAGCATCAGACCACATCACAAATGGACTGAGTTTGCTCTGATGAGGAAAGAATTGTGCCATGCGTGGTCGATACCTTAGGTATCGTGCAACTCGTTTGAGCATAAGCATGTGGCTGGTAGTTGGTCGTTGTAGCCCTTGTGCTAAAGATCTTGTCGCTACTTGCAGATCTGGTCGATCTTGTGCCAAATAAGCTGCTCGCATTGCAACTGATCTGTACTGGGTTGCTTCTTCATCATTGAGAAAAACAGTGGCGTTCTTGAGGTCTTCCACTGAACCCTTGGCAAGTGGTGTCTTGACTTTGGCTCCTCGGGGACCATCTCCGAGTAAATCAATCACCAACTCTGCATGACGTGCATCTGGTTCCCACCAAATTCCATTCTCCTTCCATGTGATAATTCTGTTCAGGACTCTGATGTCCTGGATGGTGTTTGGTGTTCCTGGTGGTCCTAAAATACCACGTTCCACACATTTCCACTTCTTCGACAGCTCTTCATGAAGCCATTTGATGTTGTCAAATGTTCCGGCTGTTGTAAAATCATCTCCATGTACGACAGTTCTGAGGTCTCGGCCTGCATGGTAGTAAATGCATGGATTGCTTTTTCCTTGCTTGAAACCTAA